GGTCGGACTGCCTCGCGGACGCCGCGCGTCCTCTTTTTGCTCCTCTCGCTCTCTCTCTCTCTCCTCTCCTCCTCTCTCTCTCCTCTCTCTCCTCTCTCTCTCTCTCTCTCTCTCTCTCCTCCTCTTCTCTCTCTCTCTCTCTCTCTCTCTCTCTCTCTCTCTCTCTTCTCTCTCTCTCTCTCTCTCTCTCTCTCTCTCTCTCTCTCTCTCTCGCGGCGTCACCTGGGGGGACGACCGACTAGCCAGCGGACGCCCGCGCATGCGTCGGCGCAGGCGTATCAACGCGGCGCCGCGTGCACTTCTCGCTCTCGTTGTCCGCTCCTCGCCTTCTTCCGCCCCCCCCCCCCCCCAACCTTCCGTCTACTCCGGCCGCGGGGAGTCATCTTTTTTCGACAGGTGAGAGGCGAGGTGTGGTCGCGTCTTCTACTCCTTCCGGCAGTCGATTAGAACCCGGCGGCGTAATTGTGTCGGCGCGGCACTGATATTCCGTTAACGCCACGGTCCGCTGCTGTACGCGCGCCCAGGAATCGCCTACCGCGGAATCGTACGATTGTTCCTTTCGGCTGCGAGCCGTGCAATTACATATCACAGCCGAGCTGAGAAATGGGTCGAAGGCCGAGAAATTCAATCGGCGGCTCGCATTTCGTATTTCGCGTGTTTGCACAAGCGTTCCCCTCTTGCGGATTCGACGGTCGAGGCCTTGCGAACAGATAAACGGCGATCATCGCTTTTTCATCGTTCTCTTATTTTATTTGCAGCCAGTGTATTGACAAAGATACGCGTTCAGAAGGGATCCGGCACCGGGATACCGGCGACCGGCGCCTCGCGCATGTCCCTCAACAGTACGCTGATCTCCTGCAAGAATGATCGATTGTCAAAAGAGGACTCCGATCGCTGAGATACCAGTCGAACGTACCTGTTCGCGCTGCACTCGCAATCGGTCGACAATCGGCTCGGCGAAATTCGGATCGTCGTCGTTGTCGTCGTCGTCGTCGTCGTCTTCTGGATCGTCGCTCGCATCGGGCTGTGATTGCGGGAAGCGGCGTGTGTAGATTCGCTTGATCGCGTCCAAGGTCTCGGCGTAGTCGTCGTCGTGAGACGAGCGAAAGTCGATTGACGATACGGAGTCGTGACCTGCGGGCACCGATAATGCCTTCTCGTAGTCCATTTGCATGACTTTCCTGCGAAATTCGAAGTTGCGTTACACACCTGCCGGCGCACACACTTCGCTCGACCTTCGCCGCTGTAATTTTCACTTTTTCTCCGCGCGTGTACGGACCTCGAGAAAAAAATATATATTTTTATTTTTCTCGCGACGATATAGCGACACACTCGCTGTATCTTTCGTCGTATTTCGAAACTGTTTGTATGCTCGATCCTGCGAGCGTCGAAACCACAGAGTGGCATTTTTTTTTCTCAAGTTCTCGCGTATGAAAACGCCTGATTAGCCAAGTGGAATGGTAACGTAAGAGCTGCGCGCGACGTCTGTCTTTTCAATGAAAAAAAAAAGCACAAAAAATAAACAGAAAAGTCTCTCGCCAGCTGAGAAGTAACTACAAAGAAACACTTACGTGGTTTGTCCGCTGAAGCCGTAAAGCTTTAGCAATTCCTTGGTCCTTCTCAGTATCTGTGAGTCCTTAGCCGAATGAAAGTGCAGGGTGGCACCGAGCACGTGCGCGACGGCCCTCAGCGTTCGACAGACAAACTCTCGGTCGACACCCTCGAAGTCGCGGAACTGATCGTATTTGCCTCCGACGATGCATAGCCGCATGGGAAATAAATCACTCGACTCCTCGCGGCCTTCGCCGTTATTGCTCTCCGCCGCCGGTCGGCATGGCTCTCGAAGAGTTTTCAATTTGTGCAGCGTCATGTCTTGAATTAGCTGGGGGCTAAAAGTCGACCTGATGGCCTGTCTGCCGAGAGAGAAATTGGATGTTATCGCCGAGGATCGCATCGACGAACGGCACTCGACGGAACGAGATTGCCGCGCGAAAACTAATTGATTTGACGAGAGAGTGCATGCACACGAGCAGACGGTTGTCGGTCGTACCTGAGAGCGAGGTGGCATTCCTCGAAGCAGCGCCACATAACTTCGGGTTTGCCGAGATCCAATACAATAACGACGGTGATGTGGTGCGGCGCGTGGCTGAGGTTGCAGCCCGTCAGTGCGCTTGCAATTAAGCCTTCATCCGGCTGGCCAATCTCCCACACGTGTACCACGTCCTTCACCTGTGTCAGCATTTACAAATCGACTTTGCAGTTGGATGCCGCCTCTGCGGTCAAGGCGCCCTTTTGCCGTGTACTCGATATGCGAGCCGCTTACCAAACTTTTCCCAGCTTTTCGCCCGTACGAGTAGTCGATCGCCAAGGTTGGCTTTGGTGCGTCGTCCTTCTCAAGAAATCTATGGATCATCGTTGTCTTTCCCTACGAATGTGGCTAATTTATTGAGCCTGAGCGTTCAACTTACAAGCGTTTACGGACATTTCAATAGCGTTATTTGTTCGTTTTCTGTTAATGAACTGATAAAAGTGAGTTGCAAGCGTTATTTCAAACGACAGATCATTATATTTTTCGACCTTGCAAATGTTGCAAAGCAAAAAAAAAGAGAGTCAATGTCGACAAAACGTTTAATATATATCAGTAAGTTCATTTTCCCAAAGACTACCTATTGGCAAATTAGTTTTGTTACCGTAATAGTCTTTACTGATTGGTCCGGGAGCACTATTGCTGGAACGCTGGACCTTCCATTCTGATTTTATAGAACATCAGCAAAATAATTTTAGAAATCACTTTTCAACCGCGTCTTCACTCTCTAACTTGGCCAATTTGATTTATTAGTAGTTACGAAGTAAAAATTTTTTGAAAGTGTAGGAATATTTTAAGTAACTAACAGAGTTAACTTATATAAGTTTGCGAGAATGAATGGCCGACTCATGATTTTAAAAAATGTACTCACCACTTGTTTCGAGCCGAGAACGATAAGTGATTTTTCGTGACTTTCGTTGGGATCCGTTTTTCTCCTCGTTTCTTCTTCCATTGCATTTTTCAATGCTAACTCTTTGGAAGCATGTAGGTCGCTAACAAAACAATTTACTGTAATTTTTTTTGTGAATCGTTTGTTATTAGGACACTTGAATGGGGAAAGCGAATTAATACGATGAACAATGGGAAGTGAATGAAAGGACAACTCAATAATAGTAACTGTATACTACGTTATAGTTTATTGAATTACTTACGCCGCTCTACCGGTCATATTTACAAAATGGTAAATCCGAGATCCAAATCAACAATGCAACTTGCTCTTGTGTACTCTCGTACCGCGTAAAATCGTGGACACTCGGTGAATCGCGCTCTGTTTTCGCACTAGTTGCCATGGGAACGTAACTCGCACGCATACAATATCCACCCATTGAACAGAATGCGATACAGACAATAAGATTAAATATCGTCGGCTCTCTATACGCGCTTCTTTCTCTATCTACAAGTTTTATTGTACATGGACGATATAATAAACAACCATTGTTTGCCATGGAAATAAATTTTATCGAAACATCGGTGTAAATATGAAAGTCGACTAGAATTCTCATTACAATTTTTCTGCCTGAAGCATATATCAGTGCTGCGTTAAAACAAGAATGCTGATGTCTATTTCTGCACGTAACTTAAAGTTTTACTTTGCTTCTTTTATTTATTTTTTTTATTTTGATTTTCTGTTAACACACGCTGCATGTTCAATGATTTGCCTTAGTCTGCACGCAGCAGGATAAGGCCAAAATCAAAGATTAGATTTATGACTGCGGTGCATGAACTCTCTCTGAAAATTACTACAATTGCTAAACTACGTTGCCTGCTTCTCGGAGTAACAAGCTTCTTGGAATAATAACTAGTACATTCGTTCAAAGTTCTCTTGCCTTGTAATTTTACTTTATTTGATGACGTGTTCTCGGCACGACCCACCAGTACGACGTAGTTCATCAGTCTTAACAAAGAATCCTTTTTTTTAAGGGAAATTATCTGTGTATTTTCGAATTAATGCTTATATTTACAACTCGAAAATTATGTAACTTGATCTCTAACTACCATTTTTTTCGCACTATACATATGAGCAACCAATAGAATAATTATTTAGGACGTAGACTAGAAAAAAAAATAATATCAAATTTTCATAAACGCATTGCACTATAAAAAAGTGGTAAATAATTATTCTTTTATGATTAAAAATTTTTTTTTTCAGCGTCCCCTTTCACATACCGAAATTTAAAAAAGCCATAAATGTACAAGAATTGTTTCATAAAGAATCATGAAAGCATTATCCAGTGGCAGTGAATTCGGGATTAGCTTTTTTATGTAGATTGATACCTTTAATGACATCAATCTCGCGTAAATATCAGTTATCTCATGTAATATAATAAAAATGTAGATATTTTGGTCCTTCTAAATCTCTGCATTAAAGTCTACTCGCGTCAGTCTGCTTTCGTGTATATGTGCGCGCATGTGTACACGAGGTTACTCCCCAAATTTAGGCAATGGATAGGCATATATCGAATTAAACGACTAACGCGATTGTTATCAGTGGTCAGCTATCCCTGTATCGACTAATCGCGTCAATGATGCAGTAAAGAACGCGCTCTGCATGTTATCTAGACCATACGTCGTCCAAGCTATCGTTGCTTAATTCCTCAGCCGGTAACACTTTGAGATTTCGAAGGGTTTCCAAGTAAAATGTCAACTCGGACGTAACCACTCCGTGCTGTGGACCACCATTGTTTACGATGTTCATTTTGATTAACTGTTCTCGAAGCTTATCTTTAAATGACATGTTGACCATTCGGTAGAGTGATTGCACTTCGTCGTTTGGAAGAATACCTGACACTGCTTCGTGTAACTTTATTAAATGTCTGTAAAAATTCATTATCCAATTTAACTTGATTTTTCATTGATAGTAACATATGAAAAAAAAAAAAAAATTTCGTACCTAGAAATATTTCTAAAAGACTGTGATGGCACCGGTGGTTTCACAGCCCAACTGTTTATTTGACCTCCCATAAGATTATCTACAATTGTCAATATTTTTCCTTCAATTTCACGAATGTGCGATCGAATATCTCTTTCCACTGTATCCAGCAAAGTAACTCCTCCGATCATTGTCGGTATACCCATTACACTGTGATTAGAATTCTGTTCTGCGAGAGCTTTGAATAAATTAAATTTATTTTAGCTTATCAGTCAATGGTCCACACTTGAATTTTCGTTACGGTTATGTAGATTTTACCTTGAAAATGCGCTTTAACGAAAGGCATCAGCCACAGTACTAGTTTTAAACTTCGACCTGCTAAAACAAGTATTGTGCTAGTGATAGTCTTAAGACCTGCTACTTGCATAGCGCCAGCGCCAAGTACAAGTTGACAGCAACGCGAGTTGTAGTGACGTAATACCTCAGCCAATTGTCGACCTATCATGCTTGATAATGCTGACAGTTCACTGGCAGTTCTATAAAAGAAAATGAAATATTTGAAGTTAAAAGATATTCAGCTTTGATAATTTAATGCAACTATTCGTAAAATTGTACCTGCAATATTCCTGTATAATTTGAACTAATAATAAAACTGTTCCTACAACCGCATACTTTTCATCGCCAATATAAATAACATTAACCGATTTATCACTGTAGTTAATATCATCTTTATTCAACTCATAAGGGAAGCATTCGTTTTTGTGTATTGAAGTAATCAGTGCTTGAAATTCAGGCGGAATGTCGGCCTGCTTCCACTTTTCCGAATCTAATACTTGGCTTAATTTGTTTTTTCGATCTGCATGGAATTTTTGTACAAATTTACTTGCTTGTGCCTAAAAAATGATATTTAACAATTGTAAATACTTCCAAACTAAATTTGAATTTAGAAATTCGTGAGGTAAAAATGAATAAATTACCTTAAAAGCAGACCGAAGTGCAATGCACTGTTTCCCGCACAATTTTTCACAAGTATTTGTGAAACCTTCAACGATATACGCTAGTTTACAAACTTGTGCAGTAGTCGCTCTCTCGTTCAACCATGATTTATCATTCCAAGTAGTAGTTTCTTTATCAACTGATTTATTGGAAGTCTCGCTTGTATTCTTTTCCTTCTCATTCTCATTAGGACTCGCGGATACAAGAGTGCCTAATCTTTCGTGGCAGTAATCACATACCGCAGTTAGCATATCTGACAATTTAGTAGTGACACGCATGTGATGTTCGTCTGATAATAAACGATCCATTAAAGGCTCACTAGATCTTTCAGGTATCGTTTTCCCGGCTGCCATATCCGCTGTATCTTTCATTACATTTTGCACAGCCTGAAATTAGCAATTTATTCAGGTGAAAAATTTATTGAAAAATTATTTTCATAATTCGTGAAACGTATTTCAACATACTCTAATTCGATATAAAAGGTAGGTCAGTGATTGTATTGTATGATCTAAAAGTTTCAAGCGGTCATTGAGAGAAAGACCAGCGACTTCGAGAGCAGCTGCTTGTTGATCACTACAACAATCACTATCGGCTAATGCTTCAATAACCTGCTGCTTTGTTACAGCTCTTACTGTTGTAATTGCTTCTTCTTTGTATGTATCTATAAATTGGAAGTGTTTTTGGCGTAGCAAACCAGATATAATAGAAACTAATTTATCCTAAAAGTCAAATGGCAATTTAAAATGAAATCTTCTATACATTACTATTATTTCAATTTAATTTTCTTTTACTTACCCCATCTAGTACTGTGTTATCCCCATCAAGTGGCCTATTTAAATCTGCTGTTGCATACCTTTCAAATTCGGTATACAACATTTTATTAATAAGTTTTTCCATTTCTGATAATTGTGATCCTAAATGCCTGTAAATACATCAATCAGTCAGTAAAATTTTGATAAAAATCAAATTATTTTCCAAAAGACTAAAAATTACCTAAAACTATGTATTCCATTCAATTCTTGAAGTAATATTTCTTGAGTTGTAGAGATAACATCTAAGGCAGCAACGTAATCTGGTGTTGAGAGCAATGATTGAATCATCGGTTGACTTTGATGAACTGTTGCAATAAGTTTTAACTTTTCTTCCACTACTAAATAATTAGACCTTTTTCGTTCTAATCTGTTGGATAAAATATGTTTCTTAGTTTTCCTATTGTATAATTTATATAAAATAAAAAACTGATAAATAAAACTACCTTAAAACTTGTAGAGAATTTTTCACAATGTTACTGTCAATTTCATGAATATTTTGTCGAAGTGCTTTTAGAACAGTAAGGGTTTGTCTTAACTGATCCATTAGCACATCATGTGAAGTCATAGCATGAAAAAATGCTTGAGATTTTGAAGCAACTTGTTCAGCTATTTTCACTTCCACAACATCTAAATATTGTGTAAGCTAAAAAAAGCAGAACTAATTTATTTTTTGCATGTATTAAAGTGCTTGAAAAAAAAACAAAAAAAAAACTGTTTTTACCTTTTCTTGCATTTGCTTGACATTGTGACTTATGTTTTTACCTTCACCTAGTAAGCCTTCTTTAGAAAAAGCAAAAACTTCATAGAAATTTGTTTTTTTTGATAGTTCTAAGTTTGGATTGAGAAAAATTTTAGGTATACTACTCAAATCAAACTGTGACCGATCTGCTTATGAAAATTAAACAATTAGAAACACTAATTACAGAATGAATATTATTATGAAACAAAGAAATATATACATTACCCATTGGATCATTGCTAGAAGTGAATGTTTTGACTTTTCGAAGATTAGGAAAGTTCTGCAGCAATTCATGAGGTAAACTTGGAGGAAGATTTGCATTAGCATTCAGTCGTGTATGCTTACGATATCTCTGCAAAACAAAGTAAATCATGAGAATATACAATAGAATCAACAGTTTCAGTGTCTCTATAGGAGAAGTCAACGTACCCTAGTAATTTTTTTGAGATAAGATTCAAAGTGCTGCACAGTAACATCAGGGAGATACAAACACTTGGGAATCTCTACCTTTTCCACAAATGAATCACCCCAGGTCTTTGTGAGGAAATTGCTTTGCTTGCCTTTATTGGGATCATTAAGAACAGCAGGCAAGTTCTGAGCTGCTGAGTAAACAGACCAAGAGCTAGCATCTGCTGAAACTCCAGGAATTTGGCCATTGCTCTTTTTATGCTGTTGTTGTTGCTGTTGCATACTTGCGTGCTTGATAGCATGGGTTATATAGTCTTTGTCCGAGACACCCTCCAGAGGTAGGCTGGAGCAGACTCCATTATAACCATAGCGACAGACAAACGAGCCACCCTCCCGGGTACAGTGCTCCTCTCGCAAATGTCTGAAACAGTTTCATCACTTACTTTGACATCTGGCCAAAGTTTTTGAGGTTAGGTGACACATGACCGTGCCCAAGGATGATCAAGCCACATGTTTGTCGATACTATTCCAGAAATCAATCACTCACTCAAGCAACGTACATTCAGATAAAGTAAATATACTACAAGAGGTAATTTAATTAATTAGGTCAAGAGATTCATAAACGCGAACATCAACAGCAGACAACTCAGAAACTCACCTGATGAAATCCTGGATATGCTTGAAGCTGGGGCTGCTGGAGCAGTGCTCACAAAAAGGCAGTATCGTCGTTTGGGTCTCAGTCGTGAGAATCTTTGCCATGTTATTCCGGGTCAAGCAGCTGTTGGCGGCGATTGCCCCGCGTACTGCACCGCCGCTACTATCCTCTCCTTCGCTATCTGTGCGCACTACACTCGTAGCTTTACTCAAAAACTTCTCTGTCAGGGGAATGTTTCTACATGAGTAGGTGGGTGCGCCGTCTTCTCCGCATGGTTATAACATTTGACGCGAAAAGCTTTTTTCCAATGTATATCAAGGACAGCTACAAACCGCACCTGACCCGTGACGTCGACTGCTCTGCTGATGCTTCGCTAAACATGCTAGACAGCCGATGATCTGCGCGCATGCGTGTCAGTCGAATGCCGTCTCTTATGGGGGATTTTTGCACACGTGTATGTATATGTATATAGCTTGCGAATTATCGGGTGTTACTGCTTTGCGCTCGTTTTTCGACCACATACTTGCGTTGTATATAATTACAGTAAGTCTCACGCCCAAGAACGTAGTGGTCTTTCGCTATGTTATTTGTCGCGCGAAGACTCACTTACGATTGCCGATTATGGATTTCTGTCAGAAAATTTGTCGTCTATAGTCTTATTGAACGTTGGTCAATTTTTATTTAGTCGCAATGAATTTAGCGTTTAGGGTAATCGCACTTGAAGTTTTGCAAGGACGTTTTTATCGAATTTCCTTTGCACGTGTAAGCTATGCGAGCGCTACACTTGCACATGCCAAAAGTTTCAAGTAAGAATAATGCTTGCCAATTATTAACAACGTTAAAGTTATCCAGTCGCGCTGCGGCAAAACAAATTCATTAACGACGCTCGAATTGCAATGCAGTGCGCGACAATTTCTTATCTACTAACGTTACCGTTCGATTTTTCAACGCGAGGCGCGATTTCGCTTATGAAATCAATACATCAATATTCAAATAGTAGTGTAATCCTCGCGCGATAGTTTTGTATTATGCAACAACGCAGACGCGAATCTCGAATAGGAGTATCCGAAGAAATTCTTGTTAGAAGAGACTTTTGCACATTTACAGATAAGATACGAGAGAAATTTGCGAGGATAAGATATGCATGGTGGCCGAGTGAATTTCGAGCGAGCAGCGACGAATTTTAATCTCGGGGGAGTAAATGGAAAGGCGAGATTGTTATTAAGTGTGCGTGAAATTTAATCGAAGCCACGCGAGTTAAAATACATGAACGAATTCAGAGATCAAAACAATCGGGAATTTCAAGCGAACCAGCGGAAGAACTTGCGCCTCCAAAATCTGTCGATTCGCGACGTGCGACGTACGCGGTTCATTGATTGAGGTTGCTCTTGGTCTGTCGCTGACGATTCTCCTCGAGCAACTGTTCGCGTCGATTGTGCAGGTAATCGTGCACGTTCGGTGGATCCACCAGTACACAGGCTGACAAACCCGAACGGTTCACCCACATGTCGTCGGCTTTGTACCTGTTATCGATACAAGAATGAACCAAGTTACGGCGAAGGCCGAATTTCTCCAATAATTATTTGATTGCGGTGGCTCGCGACTTAGGGAGTTTTTCGTCTTATTCACCTTGAGCTGTGCGCTCGATTTCTTAAACGGATTATTTAATGAAAAAATATGAGATCTGCTTTCTAACGACGACCTTGCACTGTGAATTGCGGAGCCCAACGCAGACGCGTACCTGTCTCGCGTGGATGAATTTATTGGATAGTTTAAGAAAATGACTATTCGAAGGTCTTTGAACATTTCAAAACATATTATCTCAATAACTAAAACATATTACGATTAGTTTTTTCAATATTAGCACGACGGAAAAGTAATCGGTCATATTATTTGTTAAACAAATAATATCTAGGTTCGTCGTGCCACAAATGTTAAAGAAAAAAAATAAAAATGGAAAAACTGGAATTCCCGTGAAGTATTTCATTAAATCCTAAAACAACGAGACAAGGCATACCACTGATTGGTCTCGTCGTCGTAGCACTCGACGTGGCTCGTGGAGTAATTGGCGAAGCCTCCGATGGCGAAGATGCGGTCGTCGATGACTTCGAGGGCGAAGTTCCTGCGCGGCGTGTACATGTCTGGCGTGCGGATCCACATGTTGTTCTTCGGATCGTATCTCTCGGCCACCGTTACGCTCGAAATTCCGTTGTAACCGCCTATAGCATTGATTGGCCATCCGTTACCGTCACATTTTCGCACATACTGTCTTACTTTCGGACAGTTGTTCGAGCACCTATCGCGTAAACGGAGCCGTGGTAAGCGATGCAGCGAAGGCTGCAGCGTCTGGACCGCATGGGGGCGATAAGGGTCCACTGATTGGTGCGAGGGTCGTAATACTCGGCCGTATTGAGCAGCTCGCCGGCGCTGTTGCAACCGCCTGCCACGTATATTTTGCCTGTATCCCCAAAATAAAGCGTGACATTATAATTCAGAACGCGCGTTGAAAAATAGCAGACTCTCACCGTCGAGTGTAGTGCAGTCGCCGTCTGATCGTTGATAGCGCATTGGGGCAATGAGGGACCACTGGTTGCGTCGGTAATCGTAGCGCTCGGCGCTCGACAATCGGTGGAGCCCATCGAAGCCACCCATTGCGTATACCAAGTCGTTCAACACGGTCACGCTTACGTAGCATCTGATATTAAATTACAGATTTTTTTAAGCACAGCGTTTAACCGAGGGTACAGCTACAGCTAGTGTGTTGTACATTACACGTGAAAGCGCTGCTCTGGCAAAGCTAAATGATATTTTTACACGCACTAAAGTTTACAAATAACAACCTCTGCTCTACTTTACAAAATGATATTTTTACGTTAGTTCTGTATCCTTATTTATATAAAGAAATTACAGTTGATATTTGCTTATGCTGTTGTTGAGTCATCTATTCGTGCATTTTTTCATTAGTAACACGCTAAATTATCTCAGGGTCAAGCTGTAAAAATATTATTACAGCTCGGTAGAAGAAAAAGAAATCTCAAGGTAACCTCCTGAAGTTCATAGGCGCAACTTCTCGCCAGATTTTCGTAACGACGTTGAAGCGCCGACAGCTGTTGAAGAAACTGTGTCCATCGAAGCCCCCAACCACGTAAATGTTGTCGCCAATAACCGCGCTGCCGTGGTGTGCCCTTGGCCCGAACGGATCGACCTGCGGCACCTACAACAACTATTATTCCTCACGATCGAATTTTCGCAACGCGCCAAGGCAGAACGTTATAGTCAGTCGATAAAACCTCGGCGAACCTTGACCCAGCGGTCAGCCCTCGTGTCATACGTTTCCATGTAGTTTGTCGCCATGTCTTTGGTCCACCCTCCAATCGCGAAGAGGATCTCATACGGGATCCGTGGTCTCCCGATTTTCGGCGTCGCTATTTTCTCGTTGTTAATGCTAAAAGTTTCTAGCTCGTAGATGAACTTCAGCGCCTCGATGAGCATGGGCCGACACGCTTGGTTCCTAACTACGTAAGGGTGCTCCTTCACGTTCTCCATGAAATATTGAGTCTCCAGCAAACCCAAACGTATTTGGCTCATTAATTCGGCTATGTGTGCTTTGCGCTTCTTCGGGTCGTGGTCGATCCATCGAAGAACCAGCTCCCACGTATCTTCTTCGTTTTTCACGTTCAACTCGTCGGCGCTGATTAATGCCTTCAGGTCAGCCACGCACAGCGTGAGTATCTCCGAGCTTGTTTCGGCAATCTGTAAAAGTCAATTCAATTACGTGAGATTGGCGCTGCTTTTTTCAAATTCATCGTTTCATACATAAGAAATAATAATTTAGGAAATATAAACTTATTTTATTTGTTTATTATATAATAAATTTTTTATATTCTATGATCACCTTATAAAAATTATTTCAGTTTAATGTGCTAGCAACGGTTGGTAAAGTAGATTCCAAATGAAATTCTTGCTTATCGTATGGATTTTTATATTCTTCTTACAGATCACTACATTACAATAGTATGATGATGTTGAAAAAAAATTTTTTGATTTGAAGTTAATAAAAAACAAATTATAAAACCAACGGTTAACGAAATAGGTCATTCTCGTTTTTATATTACTTACGTGCAAATATTTTTGAGATCCGGTATGGTCTAGTGGCTAGGATACCTGGCTCTCACCCAGGAGGCTCGGGTTCGATTCCCGGTACCGGAAATTTTTTTTGTTATAGCAGTTTTTGAATTTATTAAATAAACAATTGTAAATTAAAAGTACAACTCGTATATAAAATCCGGTATGGTCTAGTGGCTAGGATACCTGGCTTTCACCCAGGAGGCTCGGGTTCGATTCCCGGTACCGGAAATCTTTTTGTTGTAGCAATTTTTGAATTTATTAAATAAACAATTGTAAATTAAAAGTACAAACCGTATATAAAATCCGGTATGGTCTAGTGGCTAGGATACCTGGCTTTCACCCAGGAGGCTCGGGTTCGATTCCCGGTACCGGAAATCTTTTTGTTGTAGCAATTTTTGAATTTATTAAATAAACAATTGTAAATTAAAAGTACAACCCGTATATAAAATCCGGTATGGTCTAGTGGCTAGGATACCTGGCTTTCACCCAGAAGGCTCGGGTTTAATGCCCGGTTGCTCGATAATTTTTAATATTTTTACTTACAACGTTTCGACAGTACAAGTAAAAAATACGCAGTTGCACTAGTTGCAGGCGCCGATTCCACCACAGTCTAAAGAAAACTCGAGAAATTAATAAACGACGTTAATATTCTATGTAAAAATGGAATATCAAACCGAACCCCACCACATCTGAAACAATAATTTCCAGAGATGCTTTCAATCTTTTCAATACCGATAAACGGCCCATTATTATAAATTTTCAAATGAAAATTTTGGCATATAATGAACAATATAATTATAGAATATAATGAAACATTTTTAAATATAATGAAAATATAATATGGCTATAACAACAATAGCCTTAGCAATCCCCCATAACATATTAGTTAAATACCTCGGTGTGCATTTAGACAGCCTGCATCACCTCAATGCCCTAATTTTCTTTCACAAAACGCTGTCTAAAAAAGCAACTTTAAATTCTAAAAAAACTAATTTGCGATATCCTATAAGGCCAATGACCACTTATACAGTGCCTGTTTGGTGGAATGTGAGCGCATGGATAATTGAGAAAATTCGCTGATTCGAGTGATCGTATCTCTGTTCCTGCCTACGTGTATTCAGACGCTTCGAAGACTAATTTTTTATAAGCAATTGTAAAGTATACGATACTAGCGACATTCCGAGAATTTACATTTTTATGCTCAAATTAACACGAGATTACTTTTTTAGCCTGTCTGATACAGCCAATGCATATTTAAAGTCATTTCCCTCGCTTATCGCATCTGAATGCGTGTTTGCCAAGCAGACAGGATACACAGCGCCACGGATGTGTATGTATTTCGACAAGAAAGTTCTGGTCTAAGATCTTGATAACGTTTCAACAAGCAGTTACATGAACGATGCATTGCTTCCTTCATTCGATCGGGAAATAAGACATTATTGACTGGCAGATAACCCACAAATTAAATCTAAAATTACGAAGTGCACTAGGTACCAACACTGGTTGAACTTTATGAAAAAAAGCTCTAGACCCGCAGATATTGTATAACTGTTTACAGTTTCTTATAAGAACTAAAATATTTTTTTTACAAATTTTGAATTTATTAAATAAAATAACTGCTAATTTATTTTTAACAAGAATAACTTATCCATAAAAGCCGATATAGTCTAATGACTAGAATACCTCACTCAGGAGATTCGAATTAGATTACTGTTGCCGAAATTCTTTTCGCTATTTTCTATTTTTAGCTTAACTAAATTTATTGATTTACTTTTGAGCATTGGTAACATACCCTCAAGATCCGGTATGGTCTAGTGGCTAGGATACCTGGCTCTCACCCAGGAGGCTCGGGTTCGATTCCCGGTACCGGAAATTTTTTTTTCAATTTTTGAATTTATTACACAAATAATTGTAATTTTTTTTAGTACAACTTATCCTTAAAATTTCAAAGATTCTAATGGATGTAGGACTGAACAACGTTTACAGTGCCAAGTACACCGACGATTACATTACAGTAATAGTTAACCGATCCAAAAATATAAAAAAAACTCGAAAAAATAAATAATAGTATTATAGCCATTATAGACCATTACTTTTAATCGAATCGTAAACCCTGCTAAGTACAAAATAGTAGTATTTAGAGAATCCTTTAATCGCATCAATCCTGATAAACGGGATATAATAAACAAATTTCAAATGAGAATTACTTAAAACAATGAAACTATCGCTATCTTCTGTAAAGAAATTAACATATATCTTGGTAAAAACTTTGATAGCTTAGTCCGACTCGATGTATTTATCATCATAACGCAGTTCGAAAAAAATACATTCCGAAAATTTTCAAACATTTTTTTTAACATGTCACTATCCAAAAAGGCGAAAATAATCTACTACCTCCACTTAATTCGACTAATTATTACATATGCACACCTGGTTTGGTTAAACGCCAGGCGCAATAATAGAGAAAATTAAGAGGTTCGAGAGAATGTGTCTACGCACATGCTTTTATTTGGAGAAACGCGAAGTGGAGAAACCTATGCAAACAGAAAATATTTCAATGCAGAATGAGAAACTGCCAACGAACTGACCATTTCAGCAATATGCCAACTGTAAAATGGAAAACAGATGCGTAAAGTGCAAGGAGCCCATAGACCGGCTGAACATAAGCTTACGAAAGTTACCGATAGGAAGAGACTTTACTGCGTTCTCTTGGGAAAAACAACGGATGTCTGTATCTCAAATTTGTCAAAACACTAAAACAGAAACAGAGAGAAATCGTGCAGAAAGAAACCGATCCGAAAACAAGCAGACTATTTAACCACGTTGCAGTGTACAGTGCGTTCGTGAGTTCAAAACCGATAATGTGTCCTACGCACAAGCAACTATACGCAGATTGTACGCGCCACAATCGAGTGTCATTTGAATAATTCCATGTCCGCATCGATTAAAAACTTCGAGAATAAATTTAATAACCAACAATTCAATAATACAGATCTGCAAAATAAAAGACTTTTTTTACTCCAAGAATACTAGTAATGTATCCCAACCTAAACGATTTTGTTGCACTGAACACGAATCCGGCCTTAAATTTGCTCTATCACGTCTGACTTTCGATAAATCCTAACTTATAAGTATAAAAAACATTTTAAAAAAAAACATGTTTTTTTGGCTATTGAGCTTTTACGACGTCACGAGAAAATTATTTTTCTATAAACGACTATCTAAAAATACATCTCTTACGCTTCAAAATCCATTTTTTAGATTTGGGCTATCTTATTTTTTCATTGAGATAACGTCAATTGAAATTAAGTATTTTAGTGGTATTTTAACATTGCATAGGTTATTTTTTTATCCAAGCCGATGCACCAGACCTTGCAGGTGACATTGTAAGAATATATAAGAGTTTTTTGAATCGCTGATTAGGAATCCGAGGTCCTTCGACTTTTATCACATCAAGTTCAAGGTTATTTGAAGGTCAAATCGTTTATTAAGAAAAAAATCTGAAAAAATTAGATATATATTTTTTGGATCGATGAATTTGAATATATCATTTATTTTACTCTACAAAGTCATATAAAGGTTAATTAAAGTATATTCCAAAGTCAGATAAACAATACAATAGGTTTAGATAAAACAATGACCTGTGGGATGTTAAAATACCACTAAAATACTTAACTTCAATTGACGATATCTCAATGAAAAAAAAAATATCCTAAATCTAAAAAATGGATTTTGAAGGGTGACGTACTCGTGACATTCTCGTGACGTAGTAAAAGCTCAAATATAGCCAAAAAACGTGCTTTTTTGCACTTTTAGATTAGGATATCTCGAAAGTGAGACGTGATAGAGCAATTTCAAAGTCAGATTCTTGTTCAGTATAACTATTTAAACACTAGACATACCGCCTGGATGGACCCAGTTTCACAAACAAAAGTTGACTAACCTAGTATGATAACAACACCCAAGGTTTCAAGGGGCGCGTCGTCCTCCCCAACGAGGCTACATTTCCTAGCCAGAATTTAGAATTCAGATCTCTGTGGTTTCAATTGAAGACGTCCAGTAACTAACACTGTAAATAACGAACTTATAACATGTGATTACAAGAGTGATCACAATGCTATTTTAATAAATCTCTACCAAATCCCTTGTCCACACAACGACAGATATACTGGACCCACATAATAAATTTCGATAAATGTATAAGAAACAAAATTAGCTAAATTCGGAAAGAAACCAAATGAAAGTACACTAGTACAATACCGTCAGAGCAAAACTTGACATTAAACTGAACAAAATCGAAAACGGAGTCATCGAGGCCAGTCTGGTATCCCTTGATACAGACCTATTGATAATGGTCTCAATTATGTCAACGTCAAAATTAGAAAGTTTTATAGAATAATATAATATATTTCAATAAATAAATTCCATAAAAACCAACGACACGACTACGCCACGAGAGATACCATCTGTTTTTTTCCGTCAATATTAAAAAATATCCTAAGATGTAGCAATTGTGACATCAAGGATTTACAAAGCGCAGACGGCATATATATAACTGATTCATCCGTTGCCATATTGAACGTTATCGGTGCGCACTGTGAGAAAGTAAACGCCCCGAAATGCTTAAATAACGGTACTAAAATTAAACAAATCTTAGTAACGCAAAAGACAAACCCAACAACGTCTCTCAAAGAAAATATTGACTATAGCAAACTTATTACACAATTCTCAGTTACAAATTTAGTCTGTTGCTCTGACATTTAATATGCTCTCGCATATTAAAATATATATCGAGAAAACATTCTCCAGACTACCTTTATTATTTATTACACTACAACAATCTAACAATTTTTTTGGCCGAGCTAACAATGAATAACAGTGGCATATGGATGATCCATGAGTTCCGGAATTCAGAAATTACAATACGTGCCAGACATAAAAACCGCAAGCAAAAAAAACTCCCAAGATTATGTCTCTGCTTATATGACTCTAGACAGAAACATATAATCTATCTTAACTAATGTAAACAAAAAATATTTTTCCAATTAACAATCAGCTTTTTATAAAACTGATTTCCTTCTATTTCCTCTATCAATTATTTTTCTTTCCTCTCTTGCTATGATATTTATCGATCACAGTCAGTCGCTTATAAATTTTTTATATTTTGACTTTAGTTTATAAGCCACATATATTATACAATTACAACACGTTTATGTTATCGCTACTACCTTGCACCGTGTCTTAACTACTTTATAGATATTGTAAATAAATGAATAAATAAATAAATAATACTCCTCTTTAAGCTTGCTTACTTTTGTTAAATTGATCTGGAAAACTTTCATCTGTAATTAACATTTATGACTGTATTCGTAACTAATGTATTTCTGAAGCATTGAAAAATTGATTTATAAAAGAAATTGATTCTCAGTGCTGGACTTTATTTTTGACATTGTTGATTCACTCTTCGAAACTCGATACATATACTAGTTCTAATATTCATATAAATGTTTTTTTCCGTGCATTAGTTTTTTGAATAAAAAAATAATAAAACGGTATTTATTTAAAAAAAATATTGGATACCTAAATTTTCTTGAGTGATTTTCACTGCAGATCGATGGATACAAAGACTATATGAAATATTCGATATTGAGCATAAAAAGTTTACCTAGACATTTTTATTTTTAATAATTACTATTAAATTTTCTGTTATATTTTAAGAACCATTGTCTTGAATAAAACCATTGAGAAATTTACACAAATAAAACTGTGCAATGGATATTATAAGACGGGTTCGGTGTAGTCGGAAGACACCGAATCTTTCGATCGCTTAAATCTATTCATTTATCAAAAGGAAATCTATAAATCGTAAAAAGAAATTCCGGTACCGGGAATCGAACCCGAGCCTCCTGGGTGAGAGCCAGGTATCCTAGCCACTAGACCATACCGGATCTTGAGGGTGTTTCACCACCACTCAAAAGTAAATCTGTAAATTTAGCTTGACCAAAAATAGAAAATAGCGAAAAGAATTTCCACAACGAGAATCGAATTTGAGCCTTTTGGGTGAGATATCCTAGTGATTAGAATATATCGGATTTCATGGATAGGTTGTACTTTTAAAAAATGAATTTGCAGTTATTAATTTCATAAATTCAAAATTTGCAAAATAAATTTCCGGTACCGGGAATCGAACCCGAGCCTCCTGGGTGAGAGCCAGGTATCCTAACCACTAGACCATACCGGATTTCAAGAGTAATTTATCTTCATGCAGAAGTGAATCTGAAAATTTAGCTTAACTAAAAGTTAAAAAAAAAAACAGCAAAAAAGAATTCCGATACCGGGAATCGAACCCGAGCCTCCTGGGTGAAAGCCAAGTACCCTAGCCACTAGATTATACCGGATGTTAAGGATGATTAAGCGTGAATTATTTGTTTTCAAAAAGCTATACGATCGTGACAATCCGGCTAAAAAAGCAGTAATAAAAATTCTTGAAATTCTAATTACTGGAAATAACGGATCTATGGTAGTGGCGTATAAAAACATAGTCAACTATTTTGGTATATATTCAGATAACCTATTTCACTTTATTAATCATATGAAAATGCAACTGAAAGAAGCGCATAAAGCATTTCGAAATTTCTCTAAAATATCTTTTGCTTATCCGTCAAATTGTCACATATACAGTACTCCTTTTGTGGAATTGAATGCGTTAATTGATTAAAAGTTCAGAAGATTCGAAAGGATATACCTTAGTTTTTATTTTGCACAAGTTGTTCAGATGTTCGGAAAGAAAATTTTCTATCAGTACCCATGGATGTCTATGAAAATCTAAGTCATGCGTGACCACTTGACCATTACCTAACACCTTGTGCGGTAGTCAAAATAATAATCAATGTAAATTAGTTAATCAAAAAGAGTACGTAGCATCACATCTGTTTTATGTTTATCGAAAAAAATGGTGTCATACAATATCTCGACAATTTACCTGTTATTTATCGTACAGCCAGATATGAATGTTACAAAAATTAATTATATAATAGCCGTACTTTCTCGGTAATCCAATCTCTACAGTATAATGCATTAATTCTTCTAATAAAGGAAATAAAAGAATACTATTAATTTATGAATGACTCACGAACCCACATTTTTTTGTAATTATATTTATTTTCATACTACTGAGCATTGTAAGGCTATTTTTGTAATTGACATACTGGCGCTTACATATGTAACTTTTGTAACTTTCAAGAAAATACGAAACATTTTTAAAGAAAATCTCGACGGTAGTGTGTGTAAACGAATTTCTGTAGCCACCATGCTCAACGATTTTATTGTTGTTATCATTGTCATTGTTACTTCAAGAACTAAATTTGTTTTGAATACTCAGACATAGGCACCTGCACTTCTTAGTCTTAGTTCCCTGTAGTCATATGTAAAAGCGTACAATCAGTTTGGTAAAATTAATAAGTGTTTTGTTAATGTTAACCGAACAAAATCCAGAGAAATTCGACGAGAGCATTCTATAGAAACACATTTAAGTAAAATCAAAATCCAAAAATAATACCAAATTTAGTTGTACTGTCCGAAATGTCGTTAATTTTAATTGTTAAAAAAACATGATGTTCGTGTATAAATAATGTACCTTATAGTATTTTTAATTATCTTCGCAAATAATGCACATCTAAATCCGTATAGTAGTAATTTGTGAAAGCGGAAAAAAACATAATGGTGGTCTCTCCCTCTTCTCGAATTTACTTGCACTAAAATTGACACTATCTTCCAGACTTATGACATATACGTGTATTTGCGCAAATCAAGGCGCGAATATTGGTATAAGTTTACGAACTCATGCAACATCACTGCGTGGGAAGACGAGAACCATTAGGAAAAGCGACGCGATGAGGGAAGCAGCCTTTTCCCCTCGAACGAACTAAAATAATTAGGGCCATTGGAACTAATGATCATTACTCGAGGAAGCACTTTATCGTCATCCCACGATCGCGAAAAATGTAATTTTTAGCCGAACAAATCACTGTACTTGCGGTGAAACTTGGGATTTATCTGCAAGAGAGAAACTAGCGACCTTACTCGCGAACTTTGTCGATCGTACACTGACCCGTAAAACCGCCGGATCTATGTATGTTGTTATCAAAAAATATATGACATTTCTATTGCCATATGTATATAAGCAAGTTCCAACTGGCATTCTCTGCTACGCTTCGAGCGTAAACAGTGTTGTCGCTGGAAAAATTACTCTCTGAGTCCTTTAGAAAATAGTCCCCTAGATTTTATGAGATTTTGTTTACATCGACTGTTTCGTTAGTGCCGTACTTACTTTCCTACATCGCAGTTGCAATTTATTAACTACTGAGATTTAGTCATTAAACTTTACCTATCTTTGCTAATAATAATAGTATAAAGAAACTCATTACGCGCACTTTCAGCTTGTAATTTGCAATCGTGACGTAAGAAGATAAGTACGGCACTGACGCAACAGCCAACACAAACAAAATCTCACAAAACATAGAGGGTTATTTTCTAGGAACTTGGAGAGCACTTTTTCCAGTGTCAACGCTGAGTGTAAAACATGCGCAGCGCGCCGTGGCGCGAAACACTTCCTAACCTTAAAGGGAATGCAGCAATTGTGCCCGAATTTTGACGAGGAAAGTCATATTGTTTCCCAGCGGGTCTTCTGGTATGCGAAAAAATCGTGTGTGCTCTCGTGTGTGGAAAAAAAACTAGGTCACACGTTTCAGGGGTTTCCAACTTAGCCGTGAGGGAATGACTTGCTTGCTTGCCACGTTGCATAATGTAGTGATTTTCAAGACACCGCGCGGAAAGTACGACTGCCGCACGTTGTCTTGAAAAAATACCGCGGTTAAGACGCTCAGCAAAATCGTCTTCGGGCTCGCGTGGCTCGTACACAAACCTCGCATGGGACAATAATTTATAGTTTCCCGCGCCAGTGTAGCTAAATGTATAAACTTTTGCTTGCGATAATACCAAATAAGCAAAATGTCTTTTATAAGTGAATCATTCGAGCGCGAACCTCTACGAAATTCTTGCAGATGTACCGGCGCGCCGCCTCCTCGAGCTCTTGGCAAAAATGTTCCCTGGCGAACAGCATAATGCCAATACAATTCTCGGGCACGAGATTTCGCTTGAGATAATCGCAGCACAGCTCGAGGACACCGAGTACGTCCAAGTAATCTGCGCTTACGAGGAGCTGGCACACGTTGGCTTTGTTGACGTCTAGTCGGTGCAGATATGCGTAATCCAACAGCTGATTCATGTCGTGGCTGTTCACGTTGGGGATCAGGAAATCCGTTCGTTTTTCGCTGTGCAGCGTCGTCGTGAATAGCGTTCTACAAAATGTACGTTATTTATTTTCGGGTGATTTTCAAAGTGGATTTTATTCATTCTCGAAGTATAAAAGATTTTCGGTTGACTTCGTTTCATTATTTTTAGATTATTTCAATTTCGTTTTAAAAAATGCGTTTGATATTTCGCATCAGAGAGCACGAAATAGACTTTATAAACGCTACAGAAGGTTTCGTCGAAACTGCACGATTAAAAATATTGATAACTATAATCACACCTAAAGTACGCACTGCAGGCAGACAGTATCGCCCGATGAATAGAAAATACTCCACCGTCCTCGAGTCTAATGACAGCATCGCACAACAAGTTGTTCTGCCTTAGATCGTACAACGACTGGAGCGTTTGGCTACTGCTAGGGCAACGGGACGCCAAACGTTTAGTGCAGCATTCGTTGCTTCTCGCATTATTGCTGGCATTATTATTATTCTCATCGAGCTCCATGTTTATTTCGGAATTTTGAAGGGCGAGTCCCGATTGCCGGCGGATAGGGGCTTGTTTTTTCCGAGTGCTCAGCAGACGACGTTGACTGTCTTCATGATGGCCGAAGAAATTTCGCGCCTACGGCGTTAAATAAGACGAGTCTCCGTAACGCATCGCCGCCTGAGTAAGGTTGTAGAAATTTTTTTTCTAACCTGGACGTGAACGTGAGGTTAAGCGGGTTTTTCAACGGAGAATTTTGCAGCGACTAACGTAGCCTCCTGGATTTTGGGATGCGAGAGAGTCTTGCGTGGAAAATTTGTAGCGGGTCGAAAAGAAAAAAAAGAATGATCGGAACCGAGAGGAAAAGAGACTCGGCGAGTCTTAACGTCGTCCACGGCAGCCCCTGAGATCTCACATATCCGCGGCTCGTTCGAGGACTGCTACGCCCGCCGCGTAAACATTCGAAACTCGCGCCGGCTACGTCATGGAACTTGTTTTCAGCTCTCGCTGAACACAGGCAATTTTCAAACTGCGATTCTTGTTTTTGGAAGTGCTGCGCGTTTAAGTCATTTTCAACGTCGACGCGTTGCACAAAACTCCCTTCAGTCAATTCCATCACTGTACCCGATTGAAGTAAAGAATAAAGAAAACGCCGCTTTAACATCTATAAATCATGTGCCAAGGTTTAATGCCAAGTATACATGGGTATCGTACAAACGTAATATCTACAAATAAGTTGTTTATTTTACAAAAAGTAGTCCCTTAAAGCTATAGATGAACAGACAACGAATCAGTAACGAATAATCTCTTTCGTTTCTTCGAACTGGCACCCGGCAGCGTCCTTGTCCTTGGCAGTGCTCGAGTGCGCGGGCACAAGCATGAGATTCGTACTGGCCAATCGACGCAGGTATCCCTCGGTGGCGTCTCCCAGCGCGTGCAGCGAGTGGCAGCTCGACTCGCCGTAGCGGTCGAGGGCGTTCCAGGACTCGAGGGACGGCTGGAAGACCTCGGCCACCTCCTGGGCGCGCAGCGACTCGCCGGGCAGCGCGGGCTGGCCATCGCTCAGCAGCCTGATCGTCCAGGTGACCACGGCGAAAGTAGCCGCGTTGGTGGGGAAGGCCCGTATGATGGTGGAGTTGAGTCCGCGGAAGAGGCACGAGTAGCCCTCGGAGCGCACGCTGCTGCGCAGACAGTCCACGGCGCCGCTGTACTTCTTGTCCACGTCGGCTTGCAGTCGCGACTTGACCACGTCGATCGGGTAGGACATGACCCAGGACGCGGTGCCGGCGAGTCCGCCAGCCACGAGCATGTGGCAGGTCGAGATCGGCGTGTCGCTGTGCGTCAGCGCCTCGTAGGTGGCGAAGTAAACGCCGAGGCTGGGAGCTTCGCGCAGCAGCGTTATCCAGAAGCCGCTGAACACCCCCCTGAGGCCCTCGGTGCGGTGGATGTGGCGGAGGCACTGCAGCGGCCCGCTGAATCGTCGCTGCGACGACGAGGAGCTTTCCTGCAGCTGCAGCCGAGTCTTGGCCAGCTCGATCGGGCTGCACACCGGCGCCTGGGCTATGCCCGCCGAAGCGCCAGCGAGGAAGTGGCCGCTCAGCTGGTGCTGACCGTTCGCCGGCAACTGCTCGCTCAACACCTTCTGCGTCTGGCCGTAGACGCCGAAGACTATGGCGTTTATCACTGCCACGCCGCCCATCGGCGACGACATACCTCGGTAGAGGCCCGACACCTGTCGCAAACCAACCTCTCGAGTCGCGCTTTGTTTCGTTGTTCTCAAGGCGCTCTTTTCCTCGCCAATTTCGAGAAAAGAAATTACCGGTCAATAATATTTATCGCAGCTCGCGCGCTTAGCGAAATGACAGATACAGAGCACGTGCACAGTGTTTGCGGGATTCGACCTTTTTACAACGGCAGTCGCCGCCTGGAGCCGAGCGGAACCGAGCGGAACCGAGCGGAACCGAGCGTACCGCCATCAATAAACGTTGCCATTGATAAATCACCGCAATTTATCGATCGGCTTCCTTACGTAACGAGCGTAGAATTTTAACGAAGCCAGGCGTTATCTCAATTTCTGGCGCGAAAATCCACAATCTGCAGACGATAAGCGAAAGCGAGCTGAAAAATAGCGTGATCGGGCGCAGGACAAAGAGCGCGCTGGAGAAAACTCACCGAGTCCTTGGCGAGCAAGGTGCGAAAGCAGTGCCAGGTGCCCCGGTACTTGGGATTGCGGTGGTCTTGCGTCTGAATGTGAACCTTGACGGTATCAAGAGGATATCCAACCACAATACCTGCGCAGCCTGCGGACAAAGCGATCGCCGCCGCGTCAGTCACGACAGAGCGGATCCCGGGCTAGCCGAGCGCACTCACCTCCGAGGCAGCCGGCGAAGAAGTCGAGAGCCATGACTCGCCCTCAGCACCGGTTCGCGTCTTCTTCTTCTTGCAACGTAACTGTCGTCGAGCGTGTTGGTTATTCGTCAACTCGGAATCCATGTAAAGCTCGTCGTCGGGTCACTGCACGGACGTTTTCCCTGGTGCCGCGTCTCGGCACGTCGCGGGCGCGCTCGGGGCGAACTTGTGGCGGCCGCGCCGAGTTTCGGGACGGGCCGTGAAGGGCTGATCGAGGCCGGGGGGATACGGGCGTTGCGCGTCGGGATGCTTCACTCTGCTACATCTCCGGAGCGGCGCCCACGGACTAATTGCGCCAATCTGGCCTCTCGGAGCAAAGATCAGCTCGCGGCCTTATCTCGGGCGCGCGGCCACGCAGTTCGAATAATACTCGTCGCCGTGGCCCACTGCTCGCGCGGTGGGGATGCGCCCGCTCAGATAACGCTGCGACTCTATGGAAAAATCTATGCTTCTCTTTATCCACTTTCTTCGGACGTCTCTCTTCCTTGCCTTTTTAGCGATATTATATCATAGCTTATCGTTTTTCACTGTCGTGGAAGTTTTGTAACGTTTGCTTCGGTCGATTTCTGCTTTACAGCTTCTCGGATCAGTTTCCTCGTACGATCTTCGCGGCGCCTCGGGAACAATGCTAAGACCGCTCGTGCAATTACAATTCTTATCGATAATAGATATGCCGAGCCTATGCGGGCTCAATAACAATGCTGTTTTTCTCGGGCGCCCAATTTTTCCTCTTTTTTTTTCTCTTCCGATTTCGTAAATCGTGTCATTTGCTTTTTTTCTGGTCGGATCCTGACCATGCGATTCTTCAATTCATAATTGTTTGTGCGATTGATACCATTTTTTTCTCGTTTCCTTGCTCGTCAAGTTTTCTCTCTGCATTTCAGTAAAGACAGAATGACTTCCGAATTTGGGGGTAGAGCTTCGTTGACGTACTAACAGAAGAAAGAAAATTTATCAACTGTTTCGGGCTGGTCTAAATCTTGATCATCAATCGATCGCAGTATCATACGCAAACAACACAAAACCACAATTTCCCATGTAAAATATCGATACGGGGAAAAAACTTTCCGTGGTTTACGAGCAGATTTCGACCTCTGCTAATGGCGAAACAAGTCCAGATTATCGTGACGTTCGTAAAAAAAAAAAAATGTGCCGAGGGAGTACATTATCGCATCTCAGAAGTATCGGAGTGCCTAGGGTGAGTGAGTGCTGAAATGCGTTTGGCCACTTTGGTAGACTTTTCCACTTGCGAAATATCGGAACTGATTCTGATAATAAATGATTAATGATCGTACCATCGTTCATTATTATTTCAGATACTCTCAAATTTGCGCGGGAAGTAGATTCATCCATGTTCTTTCGAAAGTTATGACGGGATGCGCTAATCAGTCTTGCGTTCGTTACACGAGTGCGTCAAAATAAGCATTTTTGTTTTAGTAAATAGCCTTTTGTTGGAAATGACCCTTGTGCACGATACGTCTTGTCGACTGTTATAATCGGATGAAAAATATACCAGCTGCATCGACGTCTATGCCTCTAAGTTGAAATAAACGATTTGTGGTTTAAAATTAATAACTATTGACTATTTTATTAGCGTTAATTTTTTCCGTTTTTCTTCATTTGTAAGTTTGGTAAATGCGAATTGCGACTTACGTAATGAGACACGCGATATGAATCAAATAACGTTCACCGGACACCGCGTGCAAGATGCATCTTTCAATAACAGCAGTGCGTGTAAACATTTAAAAATAACCGCGTATCACTTTTTGAAATATTGCAATATTGAACGTGAGTACTGGACAACAAAAGGAGTCAAATTTGGAGGAAAAAATGTCAAGTTGGTTGCCGCTAGCTATGTCTTCCGCAAACCAGAGAATTGATAGGTCGCTTGAGCTTTTCGTTTCGTAAACGTCAACTGACGTTCGCCAATAAATATCCCACATCCTCGCGACGATCAGCCGATGACGAAGTGTATTTCAATGCCACCCGTACGCAAGATTCTTTCGCGATTCTTCTCTGCCTACGTACGGGCGAACGAAAAAGAGCGAAGACGCGCTGATCGCGCGTACCTCGGTGCAGCCGGAGCGAGAACGCGACAACGTCGACGGTGATCGGTCAAGTAAATCCCTGCCACGGAGGGGGCGGCGGCCTCGCGGCTTGCGCGCAACCGCGTGCAAGTTCAAGCTCTGATGGATCGGGCGCGCGCGCGTTCTATATTGATTTTCTCCGGGACCCCCCGCCACCACTCCCCGCTTCGCCGCCGCGCGAGTCGCACTTTCGACTTTGAAAATCGCAATGTTTGCGCCGTCGGGGAACGGACGCGGAAAAGAAATGGGTGCGCGCGGAGTTGATCGAGGAAGAGCGCTTCGGCGCCGAAAGCTCGCGGGCACGCGACGCGCGCGCAGACTCGTGGGCGGCTAAGCGAGAGAGCGAGGCGCACGTCTAAATATACGACACTCGAGCGCGAGCTTTCCGGCCGTCAGGTACTCCCGTCGTCGTCGTCGTCGTCGTCGTCGTCGTCGTGCTCTCTTCCGCGGACTCAAGTGGAAGAGCGAGAGAGCCTCGTCCAACGCTTCGAGTGCGACGACACGAAGGTACGTGAGACACTTGGCCGGGCCGCGCGCTTCTCGCTCAGCAATTAGCGCGCACTTGGTCTTGCTTGCCTTTTGCCTGCTCTCTCGTGCATTTGGTCGCGCGCGCACACGTACGCACACCTCGCTTGCCGACCAGCGGGGGGTCACGTGGCCGCGCGCGGACTTGCACATGTGTGGGTCGGTCTCGCTGGCAGTTGCCTGTCGACTCTCCCGCGGGTCGCTCGCGCGACCGAGCGCAGTGCCGTTCGTGCTGTTGCGACGCTCACGTGTGCCGCTCCTTGCAGTTTCGTCGATACGCCGATATTGAGGTGCTTCCGGCGCTGCGGCACTGCTCGCTCCGCTGGCTCGCGACCTAACTTGGCGCCCGCTTTAGCTGTACCGTCGGCGGGCGGCCTTACGTGCGATTCACTTCCAACCTTTCCCACTTGTTGTTTTCCCTTCGACGGCCGCGTCTCGGCTCTTTGGCGTTCCCACGAGGAGCCACTTTGGAAAATCAATAATCTTGGCGCACGCAACAGCAGGGCTCGCGCTAACTGTGCATTCCCGAAAGGGGAAACGCAAGCGCTCTTTAAGCCGACTGAAGCTCCGCGTCGACCCAGTCGATCCGCCAAGCGAATTAAAAATAATTTTCAGCGTGCTATATTTACATCGATCGCGCCCATCGAGGCTCATCTTTTCCCTCGGAGAAGAAAAAAGAAAACCGAGACGACTGCGCTCGCAGCCGATACGACCTGCTGATCTGGCGCCCAGCCAGCAATCGTTTGGTTTCGCGTCGAAGAATCGCCTGTCGGAGCTCGCCCCGATTAATGCGCAACGACATTTCGCTCGTAGTTCGATCGAGCGATGAGCGGGCAGAGGCCGGAGGGGCGGCTGTCCGTCGTCACAAGCAGCGAGCTCGTAACGTCGTCGTCGCCCAACTCGCCGAGCTTCATTCAACAGGTTCGTATGCGTGCGCGGCTATCTGCCGTTCGGGCCGCGGCTGCGACTCGCGAATCGTGACCGAGGCGTTTCGATTGAAGGACGAGGTGTCGTCGGATTGCCCGCTGTTGACGCCGAGTCCACCACCGCACCTAGCCGCGGACGACGCTCCCACCTTCGGAGTTGACTCACCCGCTCAGCTCGATCGGACGCTCAGCAACATCAACAGCGAGGATGGCCTGGCTTTTCTCAACATCGTCAACAGCTCCTGTAAAGCCATGCACGACGGTGAGTGTCCTCTGCTTGCTTGGCGCCTCGATTAATCGAACCGCAAGCCTGTCGCGATCCTGCGCTCTCGAGTCATCGCGTCACTTCTATTTATAAGACGCGGGCATTTATGTATTCTTGAAATTACTGCAATTTAATTTTACTCTGCTCGACGGCAGTTTATTGGTGGCTCGAGCGTAGTGGCTGCGCGCCGAGCGTTGACAATATGTATTTGAGTCGAGTCATCAATTGGCCGAATATTCTCTTAACAGCGCTTAATAGCCGGCTCGATAAAACTACGCTAACGTTTCAATTTCCTCAATTTGTACGCGATAGACCAAATCGTCTAACTTACAGCCAGTCGTTAAAAGAAGACTGCGATAACATTGTGTCTTTTCGATACTGTTAACAATACGAGCAAAATCAACTCGAACAGATGAAATTGTTTGCCGAGTATTTATAGAGTATTGTCACGATTTTTCAGAGCCAAGCTCACGGGATCCAATGCTGGAGACGAGCAGCGAGGGCGGCAGCAGCAGCGACACCAACGAGCCCGTTTGCACGCAATTGCTCACGCAATTAAATACCGCGTACACCCACTTAGCTCCGGACGCGCAAGCATTGGTAAGTCGATTGGCGAATTCGACGCCTCTTCCTTTTCTCAACAAATTCATACGGGTAATCTGTCGGACGTTCTGCCAAATCCTACTGTCTCTCGAGATAATTTCTTTTTTTCCCGTCTTTCCTCGCAATTTAGCATGCCGTGCGGCAATCTCACGCCCGATATGCATATTTTCGAGTCGACAGTCGCTGCATGCGACTACTAGTAATTTTACGAAATTTCGCTATGCTGTGCAATACACTGAAAATTTGACGTCATAATGCCGAGCTAATTTTTGTTTCGTGTTGCCAGAGTCAATCGGAGTACTCTCGATGGCATGCCGTCGAATGATCGAGGAAAAAGAAATCATTGCGGTAATGAAACGTCATTGCTCAATTTTGTAATATACGACTTGACAGACAAACAAAATTCAAACAACAAAATGAATGATGCGCATTTTTCGAATCGTTGGCAGCGTCGTAGACTATACGTTATGCTAGCATGTCAGCATGCTTGTAAATAGTGGCTTGCTGAGCAAAGTACGGGCATAACAAGTCTTATTAGACACGCTAAATTGAGAAGAGCGATGCATAAGTTATATCGAACACGCGTATCCGTTTGCTTTGCCAAACTTTCGCATGACAAATGACCAATTTCCTTACGTAGCCTATTATTATTTCAATTAAATCAACATTTATTCATCTATATTTTAGTTTTATAATCAGGGCGAGCCACCACTTACGGGAATTCAATTAGTCGTGCCAAAACCACCCAAGAATTACAGTTTTATGAGCTGGAATTGGCCTGTCATTCGCAAAACTTTTTTCTGGACATTGATGTCAATATTTGCCGGCTGTATCGCTTTGGCCATCGGTGTTATTGCAACAATGCCTAGGAAGTATGCGTCAACGAATTGTCAATGGTAAAATTAATTTCCTTGGTTTTTAATATTCGTATCTATGACATAGGTGCGAACCACCGGTTCAGTGGTGGCAAGGTAGCCTCTTTTACGAGATATTCCCAGCGTCATTTCAAGACTCTTACGGCAATGACGGAGTTGGCGATTTACAAGGTATAACCAATCGACTGCAGTACATTAACAGCCTAGGAGTTCAAACTATTCGATTAAACTCCATATTTCCGACCAACGATTACCCTACCGACTATGACAAAGAAGTTCAGAGCCTAATGAAAATTGATCCAAGACTGGGAAGCCTATCTGATTTTGATAATATGGTCTCAAATATTCGGAGTCGGAACATGAAGATTATTCTGGATTTGCCGCTTTATCCGTACGTTAAGAATTTCGGAGATCACGTAGAGAAACGAAACCTAAGTGACCATCAGGAGACGATAACGAACACGGGACCATTACCACCATACCGAGAAACTAGAGATACTTTGAAAACCGCTCCATACGAGTATCCGACTCGCGTTGAGCCTGTAATTGTTTCGTCTCTGGATGATCACGAGCTCACTAAAGCCATCAGATTTTGGCAGCACAAAGGGGTCGATGGCTTCTACCTCAAAGGTCTAGAACACTTTGTCAACGAGACCAATTTTATGCCAGCATTGAGGCACTGGAAGACTATTATCGGCTCGGAAAGGATATTTATGTGTAGCGAAAAAGCTCTGAACAATGCAGTCTACACCGATGCCAGAAATGCGATTATGCACAGGGTAGACCTAATCGATGTTTTTCTCGCTGTATCTAATGACACCGAGAGCATCAAAAGTCAAGTTATTAAGATAATCAAGGGACCGTTGTTTGAAAAATCTGGGTATCCATGGATACATTGGTCCACGGGAAGCGTTGATAGTCCTCGATTGGCATCCACGTTACCAGTTGCCAATGCCAGCGTGGCTATTGCCATGTTGGGTATGATGCTACCTGGTACACCTAATATTTTCTACGGGGATGAGGTAAAAACGGCACATTTTTAGATGTGGAATTCATTATGTGTTGAAGAATAATGAGTACCGAAATGTTTATAGTTGGGAATGTTGAATTCTGATAAGGCTGTTCATCTTAATCGATACCAGTTGGCTTTTATGAACTGGCTTCACACGATCAATAACGACGATAAAAAGCCCGCAAGTAAGACTTGGATGCCAACATCCGCAGAACCAGCAGTTCCAAATCTCAACAGCCTCATTCATGAAATGGCAAAACTACGTGAAGAAACGCCGTCAATTTATGTTAAAAGTGTGGTTAAACATAATGAAGCTCAAGCTAATTGTGATGTCAGGTGAGTGTACCATTGCCTTATATTATTGAATGTAATTTACAATACTTTTTTTACGACGTTTGCGATTTCTTCAGATATACTAAGGATGAGGTCATTGTAATCGAAAGGTGGTATCCACGACGAAATACCTTCGTATTTGTTGCAAATCTAGGCATAAAAACGCAAATTAAAGATCTATCGGCATTATATTATGGAGGATATATAGTAGTTGGGCCCGATTACAAATTACATCAAAACATATACTTCAAAGAATTAATGATTTCTCCTGGAGAGGCTTTTATAATTAAACTAGATAAATGAGATATGGAGAAAAAACTACTAACTTCTAGATGAAGTGACAGATTTAAATGCTATATAACAGAGAATGAAAAAACTGTTGAGATTTTACAAAATGTTTGAATCTTTTAATTAATGATGGAAATATACGAGGGGAATGTCGCTCGAATTATCAATATTTCGCGACGTCGCTCTTTATTCATTGCCAATGTTTACTTTTTTTTGGCTTTAATTTCGATAATAGTTGAAACGTGTTGTAGTCCATAAAAAAGATAATATTTTTTAAATAAATGAACCATTGAAAATTTGCCTACAAACGAAGTTACAATCTGATTCATTCAAATATTTTATTTTTGAAAAGAGCGATCAAAATTTATATAAATTAATGACTTATATAAAACAATCAAAATGCAATTTAAAACAAAAGATTTACATATTTCATTATAGCTGTTGTTGATTCTTAAAATATTTTTATTTGAAAAGACTTGTTGATACATATTATTAACTATGCATTTCTTTATGATTTTATCAGAATAATAATTCATTGTGAGCACTTGCTAAAGAAGAAATAGATGTAAATGTTTTAGTTTTTAAATTTCTTCGTGGACTATGTTACGAAAAATGTTGTTTTCGCTGTATAGTATGTAGAGACTTTTTTCACAATCTGTAAAACTATTTGTCCCTTACGAGAAATCTGTTGCAGCATTTTGATACACCTTTTTCCTTTAATCTGATAATAACAGACTGATTTCGGATCGAAATTGGTATCAATGAAATATATACTTTTTATATATATTTTTTAATAATCAAAATATTTTAACGTTTATAAATCTATGTAAACTTAAAGAAAAAAATACTATAAATTGCAAAAACTATTATGTTTTTAAAACATTTTTTACGTCTTTAAAGAGTATGTAATATGAAATCTGCTGAAAATCTAAACATTTCATGAAAGTTGTAGATGATTTTTTAAGATTTTTTAAATTAATATATTTTTTTATTGTAATATAATTATTTTTATATCGAATGTAATAGGCATGAGAGGGATTTCATGCATATAACAATATTTGATGTAAAATAGATTATAGATATTAAAACTCAACGAAATATGATGTCAGTAATCGTATACCCAGTGAATATTAAAAAGTTAGAAATGAAAAATTTTATTAAAAAGCAATGAAAATACAATATTTTAAATAGTATTTTGAATGATTCGTTTAAAAATAATAATCAATTTTAATTCCTATCAAATTGATTATTATTTTTAAAGGGACGTCGATGAATAAATGGATAAAGCGAATTAGTTATAATTAGTAGAATATAAAAAATGCCTTCTTACTATGGCAGTGTTATTATTATTTATATGTTTGTATACTTTTTTGATACTTTTAAAGTACGTTATGTATTTTTTAAGATAAAAGATTTGTTGAAATCTCATGGCGCCAAATGAAATACCTGCGTATTTTTTGACATTATTCAAAATATTATTTTATTACACGATTCAAATAATTTTGTACATGAGAGCTTAAAGAGAGTCTCGATATTTCCGTTATGCTCTTTATTTCTTCATAGTTTTAAGTAGATTATAATGAAAATGAATATACCTATGTGTAATAATAGTTGTGTCAATATACGTAAAAATTAAAAAAAATGTAAGATAATTTTTTGAAATAAATGTTCTTTTGAAAAGATTGTTTTAAACATTTATTATCATAAAGTTTCATATGACAATTTTCAAACTGACGAGTATTAAAAATATTTTACTACTACTAAAACAAAAAATTCTTTCTACAGTATTTAATTAAAAACGTAGCACAACCACTTTAGGTTATTGAATAATGGTCCCCGTGAATTGCTTCAAAAATTCTACTGTCTTTTTGAATACCTTCTTCAAATTTAAACACTTGTAAATTGACAATATAGAAATACAAAGTACCAATGATCGGTTGTCAGCCTTTCAAAAAAATTATGCATTACCCGTGTAACAATTTATAGTTCTCAGTAACATTGTCCTTCATAAAATGTCTTCAAGTTTTATCAACTTTTTTTTCATAATTCTGAAAAAATGAAAATATTTAAATATATATATATAATATTATTATTTGCATATGGCTTACTGATTTTGCAATTTGAAACAGGAACTGCGCCGTTCCTGCACCAGTCTGCTGAACACTTTCATAAAAAAGACCTTTCTTTTCCGTCAACAAAACATACGGATGATCAAATTCCTAAAATTATCGAAATGCGTATAAGCCATTCAATAAATTTGTTAAAACGAATAAAGAACCATTCTTACTGCTATAACTCCAGTATTCATAACAATAATTCTATCACTATCAATAACAGTATGCAATCTGTGGGCAATGGTCAATATCGTGCAACTGTCAAACTTCCTTTTGACCGTTTTTTGAATCAAATCGTCAGTCTGAGGGTCAACATTGGCTGTGGCCTCGTCTAAAACGAGTATTTTATCCTTACGAGCAATGGCGCGTGCTAAACAAAGTAGTTGACGTTGGCCTACACTGAAGTTAGATCCACCTTCTGCGACATGCGTTTCAAGACCTACGCTCGCATCGATATTTCGTCTCATGCCCACATCATCGAGAGCCTGCCATAAATCAGCATCCGTATGTTGACCAAGAGGATCTAAATTTTTCCGAAGGTTTCCCGTAAAAAGGATTGGCTCTTGCGGAATTATACTAATCTTGGAACATTCAAGCATACTATTATTCATAAAACTCAGTGAGACAAATATTATGCATCAACAAAGTTGAATTTTATTACTGCTTCTTACCTTGGATCGTAATTCGTAAAGGCCAAGATCTCTAGTGGGGAGGTTGTCTATAAAAATATCTCCTTCAATGTATGCTAACCTAAAGAGAGAATTGATTAAGGAAGATTTACCAGCACCAGTTCTACCAACGATACCAATTTTTTCTTGAGATCTTATGCTAAAATTGAGATTCTTCAGAACCATTGGTCCTTGTTTGTCGTATCTTAGACTAACATTTCTATATTCTATTTTTCCTTCGTTTGGCCAAACTTGTGGTATCTCCACTTCCCGTTCCGCGATCGTCAGTGAACTTACTTCCGTAATTTCCGTCAGTTCTTTATCATTTCCTTTTTTCACACTCTTCGGCCTGTATTCCTCTCTCGTCAATTTCGAGTACTCCAGAACTCGTTCCACCGACGTCATCTGATTCTCCATTTCAGCGAACTGTCTGACACCCCACTGCAAGGTATTGATCAACAGCATGCACTGCGTTATCGCAAGACCAATGTGTCCGGACATAGTAGTGTCATCGAAGATCATCAAGGTGAAAAGAACGCACGTGAGAAATACTGCACAGAACAGATCCAGATACATGCCCAATCCTCGCGAGCCTGAAAAGAAGATGAACCATGCCGACGAGTGCAAATCTTGATGGTCGTCAAACTCTGCAACAAGAACCTTCTTGACTCCTAAGGCACGTATTGTCGTAAGACCCTGCAAGCTATCGCTCACATAGCTAAATACGGGTGACCTCGCTGCAATATTGGCACAATATGTACTCGATGAACACACTACAAATTTATATATTACAGCGTAAATAAAAGTACTGATTCATACTTATAGCTTCTAGACGCTTAATGCTGCGGCTGGTCTTGATGAAAAACAACGAGAAGCCGTAGAAACAGAAGCCAACGAGACATGCTGGAATGAGTAGCCATGGATTTACGCTGCTCACAACTGTGAATGCTGCCAGAATGTGAATAGTATTCTGAATGACGTCTATCATGGCTCGCGACACTTCTGTATCGACTATACTCATATCTTTAGAAAATCTACAAAAACACTTTTATGTATTTATTTCCTAAGATACGTCACAGAATTAATCTTGGTGATTTACCTATTCATGATACGACCTAAGGGATTCTTGTTGAAGAAGTCGATAGTCGCAGAAATAACACTGGCGAACATGTTCGCGTGCAAGTTGTTAGCAATCCTCATGCTCATCTCGAAGAATGACCACGATTGCAAAAGACATAAAGTTATAGTGGTCAAAGTGATAACCCCATAGACGTAGATATACCAATCGCGATGATTGCAAACATATTCTACGCAGGTTTCATTATTCCGCATTATCGTGTTTTCTTCGGCGTTCACCCAATATGCTAAAAAGTAATCCCCACTGCTGCCTACCAATTGATGCATTAAACTCATGAACATCACTAGTATCACGAGAGGTGTATTCTTACCGGCCAATAAGTAAGTGAGATATGTCTTGGCTGATATGCTACCACTTACTTTTTTCTCCGCCACTGTCTGGCACTTGCCATCGATACCATTCAATTCCCCATCGTCAAGATCTAATTGCGACTCGTCTGATTTTCGATTACTTGCTTTGTCGAATTCATTCGATACCTGCATCACTTGAACCAAATTGATTCCAATATTTTGCAATTCACCGAGGGTTCCAGTTGCCTCGACTACGCCGTTACTCAGAACAACTATTTTATCAACTTCCTCCAGATATTGAAATTGATGGGTCAGCAGAATAATCGTCTTATCTTTTAAGTAAATTTTCATGCATTCTTGAAAGATCTTCCGGCCGACGAGCATGTCGCACGCAGACAATGGGTCATCAAAAAGATAAATATCAGCGTCACGATAGATAGCCCGGGCAAGATTCACTCTGGCACGCTGACCGCCACTCAAATTGATACCTTTCTCACCCAATAACGTTGCGTCACCTTGTGGCAATGCTTCAATGTCTTGTTTCAGTTGGCATACTTCGATCACTCGCTCGTAATGTTGTTGGTCAAACGTCTCACCAAATAGGATATTCTGTCGCAAGCTCGACGCAAAAATCCATGGTTCTTGTGGCACATAAGAGATTTTACCGTAGGTAAGAATGACACCTGTGACGTGTGGAAGCTCTCGAAGAATCGCGTGCAGAAGACTCGTTTTACCACAGCCTACTTCGCCAACCACAGCGGTTAGGCTTTTCGCTGGTATTTGGAGATTGACGTTTTCAAGAACTTTCACCCTGGGATTCCACTTAGCGCTAAAGTTTTTAAATACGACTGCAGACCCATCCGAGCTAAAGGTTTTATCCGTGTGGTTAGTGGTTGCAGAGAGACTAGGAAGCTCCTCTATTTTCATAAAATTTTGCAATCGCTGAACTGACACTAGAGCTTCTGCTGCGTCGTGCAGACCTGTAACGTATAATAGAAATATTAGTACGCGATATCAAAAATAAACTACGCTTCAATGTGTACCAGACGATGCACTGACACAATGGAAATAAGGTGTACATGCTCAGCCGCAAAACGTCGTAAAGAGCTGTGATCACGTAGACCTTTTCGGCGTTGATTCCATTGTCGAGTAATACGTAAGCCAAGAGGGTAATGAAGATGCAAAGTCTCGGAATGTAGAATTCTGATGCCAAGCTCATGTCAGTTATTATAGCATCTTGTTTTACGATTTTTAACTCCTTTCTAGAATTTCAGGAATTGAATTTGAGAAAGTGAGATGCAGACAATTGTTTTCTCAAACGATTAAAGGTATTTAAAAGCAAAGCCCACTTTCTAGTCTGGTCGATGAAATTGGAAAAGGGTTTCTCCCAGGCATACATCTTGATGGCTCGGATTCCTTTGACGACCTCATTGGTTAGTTTCAGCCTCTCGTCAGTCCTCGCCGCGTACTTGCTAGTCAGGCGATTCGTTAATCTCCCGAAAAGTCCTAAATTTGCCTGATCACTATTGATCTACCGTATAGTTCTCTCGTCCGTCGTTCCATCAATCAACATATTCTCTCGTTCTCTCTCACTCTGACTCGCTCGAGCGACGCTTGCCAAGAGCCGATAAGAGCCGATTAAACGCGATAAAATACTGCGTTTGGCGTTCTCTTTGGCACGCGTGCCGCGACGTGATGCTTCGGCTTTAGGAGTCACGAAGTACTCACCGAGTATTGGTATGAACAGGAGCTGCAGTGCGATGCCGCTACCGGCTGACATATCGACTTCGCGATACAAGAAGTAGAAGACGAGAATGGCCTCCAGGGGAGCCATCCAGATGTAGTGCATGTAGTAAACCGCGTGGCCCAATCTACTGACGTCGTTGCTCAGTAGATTCAGTACCTGGGCGATTTGTTTGTCAGTTAATTTTTACGATGGCTCGAGCTCGAAGCTGGGAAAAATGTTTGTCGCCGATAAGCTAGTTGGAACTCGGAAGGCGATGGACGACCCAAGACACGAGTCTAAATCGGATAATCGCGTCGAGTACTCAAATCAGAATCCAAGGCAGAAATCCATTGGCTGGAGTGACGAGGTGCAATTCCGCGCGCACCTCTGAAAGAACTGAAACTCGCACTACATAGACAGCCTTGCGCGCCAATGTACGTAATAATCGCGCTGGCGAGCGAGAACGAAGCGAGCAACAAAGAGGCGAGGAGCGAACCTGTCCGGCGCTGGTCTCGTCGGAGTCGGCGAAGGTGGTCGGCACGCTGAGTATCTTCCTGTAGAGCAGCGAGGAGCAGGCCACCCGGATCTTCATGCCGGTGTGCATGAGGCTCTGCACGCACACGTGGCCGACGACGCAGTCGACGAAGACGCCGAGCGCCAGCGCGCTCGCCCATCCCCGAGCGTCGCCCCGGCGGTGCAGCAATTGCAGCAGCACGTACGGCCTAGATAGCCTGCGAGTGCGAGCCGCGCGAGCGCGCTGTAACTGGCCGCCAATTGAGCGGCATTAAGCTGGTGGCTTACCTCACGAGGAACTCGAGCAGCGCTTGTCCCGCTCCGGCCAGCAAGATCTCCCGGCCGAAGCAGCGCGACAGCACGCGCAGCAAGCTCGCCGCCGTCCCTGCCTCGCGGCTTCGGCGCTCCTCTCTCCGCCACTCCCGGCTGATACGCTCGCCCACCTTGCCGCTCGCGTGCTCGTCCAGCGGCTGGTAGAGGTCTGCCAGGTCCAGCTCGCGACGGAACCCCGCGCGGAACGTTCTCAGGAGCCACCTGCAAGGTTCAAGGTCGAGCTTCGTACGTGCCTTCGCTAGCGGCGTTCGTCGAAATTACACTCATCGACGTGGCTTGCGGGCGCAGGCCACCGAAAGGTGCGAGAGATACGAGAGACGAAGGTTGGACTGTTCAAATCGCACCTGGAATTAAGCGGGCTTACTCACGCTGACCTACTCGGCTGGCGATCAAACGCTCGGGGGGTCAATTGACGTGATAACTATCGTTTAAATTTAACTTCTAATGACCGTGCTATCGAACAATGCGTGAAACATACGTCCAACTTCAATCGACATCGCGCACGAACGGATTTTCACGGCCTGCTCGATCTTATTTTTAAACGCGCGGGAGGCTAGACGATCGAGCGGATCGTCCGTCCCACGGATCAAAGGTCTTGGTAGAGCCGAAAACGAAATTCATCAGTGAAGCATCCTTTTGCCTCTCGGTCCTCTCATTTTCGAAGAGCGCTTTCTCGTCCGGGCGCCGATCGGATAAAAAAAAATTGCTAGTTTGTTTTTATGGCTTCGCGCTATTTCGAATCGCCGCCCGATCCCAGACCAAATATCTAGCGCTGCGCTGACGAACTAATCTCCGCATCGATATGATTGACGAGCTCGCGTTTATCAAGGTATTACGCTTGAGAGGCGGCGAAACGGTCCGACGGCGTATCAGGCTCTGCAAGTGCAATTAGCTTGGGCGCATTATATGCGCTCGAGGCACGAGTGACTAGTTTTCTCGTCTGCTCGCTAAGTGTTGTGCGAGCAAAGCTGTTTACGGCGGCGATGTGTCGCTATATACTTGCCATTTTCCGCGGAATTGTGCCTCGTATATACGAACGCGCTCGCATTTCAAGTGAAATTATAACATTATCGAGTTGGCTCGTATCTACATGATCTGCTTTTATTTTCTTTCTCTCTCTAATCGACGTTATTATTATCATTATTTGCCGTCCGATCGAGCGCTGCAAGTTGAAAACTGTCGGGAAGAACGATCGGTTCGCAATAATTAACTAGCATGCAAATTCTGTTGCTCGAATGCAAAACTGGTTTTCTTTTCATTTCTCGCCAATGAGTCGGTTAAACTCTAGCACGAGATAACGCTCGACGTATCGATGTGCACGTGCAGTAATCGGCGTGCGTGGCGATATAATAATTGAAAAATAAACATTTATTCGAAAGGGCTTTTCTAAATTCGGCGACCTCGCCGTCAACGAAAAGAGGGAAACGCCGGAGGACCGATTCGAAGCGCAGCGCTAACCGCTGCGCGGCGCGCGTTTCTGAAATCTCGCTGGGCCTTACGCGAAAGTGACGACGGACAGCCAACTAGCGTCTTGACGTGGATTCCTCTGCCTCTTCTTCTGGCCTTCGTCCATGTTGACGCGCACCACTCACGCGTATTTTCAGTCCCGAGAGATGAATCGCCTTACGCAACCATTCCAAGTAAAGGAGCAACGGTAACGATCCACTGGCGAGAGTGCGCTTCGGAAAGAAATAATAATAATAAAAATAAAAAAGAACAACGAACCGATCGCGACGATGCTCGCGCGTGAACTGGCCTCGCTGGCCAGTTTTAACTCTTTCGCCCACACTGCGGTGGCGGCGGCGACGGCGTCACGGAGCTCCGCGGTAGATATCTCGAGTACCGACTAAATCGAATCTCGCCAGGAGAGTAAGAAGAGAGAGAGAGGCAGAGAGAGACAGAGAGAGAGAGAGAGAGAGAGAGAGGAGTTTGGGGCACGTGTCACGCAATGGAACCACGTGCAGCTCGAGGTTAACGTAACTGAGAGTAGGCAGACTGGATCAGTGGGCGGACTTCCGCTCGATAGCTTTTGTGCTCGCTGATTTACGAGCTTCTTTTTCCATTTTTTCAGGAGAACAGAGGACATCTATGCTGGTACCGCGAGTGATTATACGGATGCACGATCTTTTTACAGGTTCTATCGCGAAAACTTCGTTTATTTCAATTTTTTTTACACCATTTCTTATTTTTTTGACATGGGTATTTTGAAAAATCTTATTTAAAATTAATGAATTTTACTGCATTATTAGAGTAAGCCTAAAATAATACTTTGTTGTAACATGAAATGTGGCATCGTTCACTCCTGAAATGATTATTGCAATCTGAGAATAGGAGCGAGAATAGGTATTTCTAAACCCCAAAATCCAAAGATGCACAGTGAGAAAATTATGCAAAAAATTCGATAAAACGCTTTTCATTAGTCATTAAAAATTACAATTTGTAACAATCAAAAATCAAACGGTACAACGTTTACTATTATAAAGTAATTAATAATACCAAGTGTACCAAGAAAACTAAGATCAATGTCATGTATACCTTTAATAGGTTATCTTTGATCTGGGAATACTAAGAATACCATCTTACAACAATTATGTGTAATGGCGACAAATCATTCAATTACGTTAAGTTTCACGTTCATGAAGATTCAAGAATGCTTATAACAGACTCGTATCCGGCAATTCCAAATAAAAATATCATCTAGAATCGTTTGAATCGTTTTTTATTTGCGCACATAGAATATATTAAAGCGGATTAGAATAATGTGGCGCTTTTAACTTCTTCCTAACTAATTTTCATGCACATGAGCATGATTTCCTTCTTCGAAATATAAAAAAATGATACATTTTAGCTCTTTCGTTCTCCAGTGAAGAATTATTGGTTATAGACGATGCGAAAAAATAAAAAAGATTCAATCATTCTGATTTAGCTATTTTTTTGTCTCGACATCTGTGTAAAATACAAATACATGAGTATAAAATCATTATTTATAATCCTTTGTCTGTCACTTTTTAATGCAAGATGAGATAAATACGTGAAACTTGCCTGAAAAGATCTGATATCGATCAAAAGGTCGTTAGAGAATTTGTTTAGCTATATATTGGTGAAGATAAAGCTAAGCTTAATCAAACTGATTCATTTGCCAAACACCTTGAAACAAATATATTTGTTGAATGACGCGCTTTTAAACACTTAACTGCACTGACTGAATGTCATCAGCTGCAAATATCGTGTTGTACACAATCAAGGACGGGTGCGTGGAAGCATTTAATGGCCCTCATTGTTTCACCGAGCAATGTTCGATGGAAGTTGAGCTTACCGATGGATCAGTGGCACACACACCAATTTTTTGCACGCGCACTTCGTAAGAGTGTATGGTAGGATCATTAGTGGTCTTAAATTATCAAATGAAATTAGTTAATTAAATAGATTACCAAGGCAAACCAACACCAGCGCACTGTGTTCAGAGGGAAATTTCGAGTACTGATTGTGTAGAAAACAATTATACATATAATAATATATCCTTTACATGTATTGTAATAAGTATCTTCTGAATTTTTATGTTCTTCTGTTTATTATCTCGACGTATGACGAAGACTCAATAAATATAAACATTTACGTCAAAATTAGTATTCTAACAATTACATTTGTCATTTTCACGATCCATCTATAAGCATACTTTTACAATATTTCACCAATGAATATGTAGCTAAGATGACGATGATTCTTCTAGAATTATTATGAAATTGTAAATCATGTTTTGATGTCTTTCATCAATAAAATACTTTCGATCGAGCAAAGAAAAGCAATTTCAATAAATCAGATACCTAAAAGCTTTTGTACTTTTTTAAGACAACGAAACACCAATCACATTGTCTATTAGAACTGTCAGTTTTCGACTAAAATTCCGTCTGAGAACGCATATACAACATTTCCCACTCGTTATTATTCGTAAGAGCAACCAATCATTCCAATTAAGTTAAATTCCACGTTTGCGAATATTTCGGCCGCCATTCTCATCTGCTTCTGTCAAGTTTAAGATAAGAGTTCCCGAGAAAATTGCTGAAATTGAGGAAAATTGCCGGTGTTTCCTATGCGCTTTCGACAATGAAATAATAATCGCTGATCGATCTTCCGACCATCCGCAAAAAGTCATACGGTCGATCGCTCGCCAGCAGAAGGAAGGTGGAAACGCCGCACCCATGTCTATGGCCAGCAAAACTCTGCAGGTGAGTGCACTGCATAGACTCTATGCTCTTAGAGCCATACACTTCCAGTGCGAGCGTCTGCGTGTTCAGGTTGCAGGAGGTCAAGAGGAGCTAGACGCGAGCGCGCGAGTGTTTCAATGGAACAGGATACTGATGAAGACACTGGGCCTGTGGCCGGCGACGCAAAGTGATTTGTGGTTTGGAATCAATTTCGGCTACTTCTGCTATCAAATGATTCTCGAGTATCTTGATCTCTTCCTCTTCATTGATAATCTCGAGCACGTCGTGATGAACCTCACGGAGAATATGGCCTTCTCGCAGATCTTCATTAGGATGTTGATGCTGCGACTGTACAATGCTCCCTTGGGAAAAATCATTGAAGAAGCTATGAAGGATTTTGATACTAAGGATTACGTCGGGGAGGAGATCACGACGTTTACAGCTTATCATAAAAAATCCATAATATTTATGAAACTTTTGATGTCAAATACAGCGCTCACGGCTTCGTCTTACTATGTGAAACCGTTGCTTGGCCAGTTGGGTGACGGTAAGTTCATCGTTCATGCGTATGACAATACTGTGTCAGGTATTATTATACGAAAAAAAATCCTAGCTTTTTGAACTGTAGAGTAGTTGGAACTTTCAAACTTGCGATCGGCTTGAGTTACGAGCTTGCGAGCATCTCACAAACATAGTCCGTGAACCTTCTATTTTTGTTTATAACTATTTCTTAGCTACTGAGTTCCCTTCACTGCTATAATAAATGAAGTTAACATTTTGAAATCGGAAGGACTGGGAAGCTCGAAAAGCACGAGTTAACTCGGAAACAAGGCTACAGATTCGGCCTATGCCGTTATAGCTTTTTTTTCACTTTTGCAACAGCCTACTAAAAATGCGATATTCTCAATACAGTAATAGCGTACTTGGAAGGTGGAAATGCAAGTTTTATCTACGTGCTGCCTTACCGCTTTCACACTTTTTACGAATTAGACGCCAAGTCTTATTTTTGGACCTACGGCTCTCAGCTACCATTCGTCTTCGTCAGTGGTTTTGGTCAGAGCGCAGCCGATTGCCTCATGGTTACCCTCGTTTACCATGTATCTGGCCAGATGGCTGTTCTGGCTACGAGGATTACAAAACTTGACACCGAATCCATAAACTGCAGCAGTGAACTTAGACGGCTGGTTCAGTCCCACATTAGACTACTCACGTAATGCGGCTTGAAATGATTTTTTACCAAACAACTTGTGTTGCGCATAAGTCTAGTTTGAAAATAACTTTATTTGATTTGATGTCATTATGTTCCCTGAAAAAAAATTTATTAGGATGGGTCAAATGATACAGGATGCTTTTAGTGCGACACTACTCGGTCATCTGATAGGCGCTACATCTCTGGTTTGCATCCTTGGATATCAAATATTATTGGTACTCTCATTCTTTCGCGCGTTATTTTTCAAGAAAACCGTAATGTACGTCTTCAAACTTTTATCTCGGCAGTGTTTGGCTATTGGAGAAAGCGCCATTTTGGTATCTTTCTTCGCTTTCATCTTTCTGGTACTACTGGTACTCTACGCTCACTGCACGGTTGGCGAAAGTCTAATCACAGAGGTAAATGCAGAATGCGTTTCCCATCTTACCGAGAGGAAAGTACATGAAAATATAATTTCTTTTTCGCAGAGTAACCGAGTGTGCGAGGCCTATTACAATTGCAAGTGGTACAACATGTCGCAGAAAGACGACAAATTAGTCATGTTTGGTATAGCTCGTTCACAAAAACCGATGATGCTCACTGCTGGCAAATTCAGCATGTTCTGTCTCGCTACACTCACCAGCGTAAGTTTGTCAGGCACAGCTCATCGGATTTTATCATTTTTCCTTCATTCGAAACTAACGACACGTCGCGTTTGTTGCAGAGCCTGAAAGCATCTATGGGCTACTTGTCATTTATGAGGACTGTAATGTAGACCCAAAATTACTACTTGTTTCCTATTAATGCCGTGTAAAAAAAGAGTTGAACATATAAATAAATATATATTTGTTGATCATACGAATGTAAAATTCAATTGGCGCGCGATACAGCGCGAATGGAGATAGTATATTCAAAGTGCTAAGAAAATAAAAGTTTGTTTAGCAACGGTCTGTGAGTTTACGTTTAACTAGAGCTATCTAATTGACAATACCAATTGCGGTAAAATCTACAAAATAACGATAAAATTCACAAATGATATCGTCTCGAGTGGTAATGTTACTTTATTCTTGAAAGGATTAGACGCATGCAGGCACTTAGCATTTCGTTTACACTTCTTTTGGGCTTACGTAATGCAGGTATTAATTGACTCCCATCTTTGAGAATACCACGGTCAGCCTTTCCACCAAGACATACGATCGAAAATGTTTTGCACCATTTTTAACTAAAAAAGAAGATGTTTCTAAAGTAATATAACTTGTTTGAAAAGGAAAAAGGCCTTTACCTCAAAAATTAATGCCGATGCTACTGGTCAGACTCATTATATCCTATTTGATATCGAAATCCACACAACATTAGTCAGTCAAAGCGGTCTAGATAAACATTATACGGTATAAACTCATTATTAGTTTTGATACTTTTTAGTCACACGACGAAAATGGAATATCTATCATCGCAGAGCTTCCTTTGCACCAGAAGAAACGAAAGAAAATTTAAGGCGCCGCTCATATAGGAGCCTGGTCCGCGGAGTGGCGTATAGCATGAATACGTAATAAAGATCAGCACTTGCTTCGCGTAAAGAAGTAGACAGAGTACATAGAAAAGCTGTGGTAGCACATGAATAATTAGAACGTTTTTTCTTCTTCTTTTTCTTTTTTTTTTGTAACGCGCGCAACACCGTGTCTATCCAGCAGTCGTACGTGGACACTCGGACGGCGATGTTCTTTTACTCTTGAAAGAACTTCAACTTCTTATTTGCTCTGAAGAATCCGGCTCAAGATGAGTTGCTCGGCGAAATTCGACGTTGATCTGTTGCAGGTCTGAAACACTCGCTGTAGCCTGCCTCGAATGTACACGCAGCTTGAAACGAGACTTGCTCTTTCAGCGAGAATTGAACAGCGCGGAGATGGTCTTTCATTGGAGCTTGAGGTTGTTCTCGCTGCTCGGCATCAATCCTTTAAACTTCAACGACCCGCTATTCACGATAGTTCTGCTCTACTCGATACTGCACTTGATTCTGAGCTGCGCCGATCTACCAAACAGCATGGGAAGCAACTTGAGCGTGATCGTCGATGCCATCACCGAAATCGGCTCGATGGTCACTGTTCTGACCAAACTGCTAGTCTACAAATGGCAACGCTCCGAGCTGGCCGCGATCATGAGTGACATTTTGAAAGACTACGCGATCGGCGAGTACAGTAGCGTGCTGGAGGTTCACATTTTTGTCGACTACGTGCTGAAAGCCAAAACCTTCTTCAGGATATTCGTCAGCTTCGGTACTACCGCATCCGTCTGCTACTACCTGAGATGTTTCGTCATCTCGGGCATCGGCATTCCTATGATCACAGGTTTCAATACTTCTTATCCGTATTTTCACCTTATCTAGTCGCACCAGCCTAAACGAGTTATTTTTCTCGCGAGAAAAATGAATTATCTCTGCGTTTGCCATAATTAAGACAGTTTACTTAATCTCCGTTCGACGTCGAGAGCTCCGAAAGCAGCTCTCGGAGAGTAACGTATTTTCGGACAAATTGGCAGATTCGTCGAACACGACAAAATACTTACTACCCTATCGCATGCGCTTTTACTACCCGTTGGTGAACGCTAGGCTGTACATCAGCGCCATGGTCTACGTGCTACCGGTGATCCCCATAACGGCGTTCACCATGGTGGCCGACGCCGTGTTGCTTTTCGCATTGCTAGCCCATCTGTGCGGACAGCTGTCGGTGTTGTCACGCTGTTCATTGCGACGCTTGGCCGACGACGCCGGGGAATTCCGTCGGAGTGCCGCGGTCGCCATCGCCAAGCACAATCGACTGATTCGGTAGGGCTGATCGCGTTATGCTTCAAGGTTACTCGCCAATGTTGCCTCTGCATTCAAGGATCGCGAAAGCCATCGATTCGGCGTTCAATTTATTGCTACTCCAGCAAGTGATGGGCATCACTTTCTTCCTCTGCATGGTCGGCTATAATTCGCTTATGGTGAGATTAAAACAGACGGACGCACCCGCACATCGTTCGAGTGTTAGCGTGTTCGATTGCTCGACTGCTTATTGGCGCGTTGTACTTTCTGTATGTCGCAGAACTGGGACAGCCGTGAAACTATCACGGAAAACATACTGATGCTGACGCTCGGTGCTCTCGCCGCCAACATGACTTTCCTCTTGTTTGCCTACTGTTACGCGGGCCAGTGCCTCATCGACGAGGTATCACGACAATCGCTTTTCGGACACATTTCACGGCTGCGTACGTGGCTTCCTACCTTCTCTTTCGATTTCAGAGCTTGTATTTGTTCGACGCCGTGTACGACAGCTGCTGGTATAAACTTGGCTCGGCTGACATGAAGTACTTGGTGATGTTTTTAAACCAAACGAGACGTCCGCTGGCCATCACCGGAGGTCGATTTTACGTATACTCGCTCCAAAATTTTCTATCTGTAAGTGGTGCAAATTGCTCTCTCTCTCTCTCTCTCTCTCTCTCTCTCTCTCTCTCTCTCTCTCTGTGATTTCATTAGTCTCGCGTTGGGCCGTTTCCAAAATTGCGAAATGTCGCAAAGTTCCAGCTCCAAAGCTTCGAACTTCGGACAGCTTTGCAAGCTATTTTTACTAAATTCGAGGCTTTGCACGAGACTAATATTCGCAGTCGAGTTGCCGTATTCAGTGAATTCTTTTAAGAAACATATTGTAACTCAGGTAATAAAATCTGCGATGGCTTATCTATCAGTGCTGCGAACAGTCGTGTGATCGACAGGTCTTCGTGTAAACGTCAAAACTTTTCAAGATTAAACTCAAAGCATATTAACGTACACATAGTTCATGTATCAATTACAATATAATTAAACCTTTTTAAAGTGTGCAAATTGAAAATATAAAATACGTCTGCTTTGAACAATCACACTTTAATGGCGAATGATATCCGAAATAGAGTTCGTGCGTGGAAAAATCTAAGCTCATAGTGTAGTCTACTATAATGTGCACTAAATCTTAAATTATTCACAGAAATCTATATTTTCAATGAAAAATTAGTAGTTTCCTGTACTTTCATTGACATATATAAACAAATATAATATCTGTCTGGTGAGTGATTCTCTAGTCTTGAATCTTTATTTAGGTGCATAAGATCCCATATTCCTTATAGGTTCCCATATCGAGCGGAGTATCTTGGTAGTAAGTAAGCTTCATTGATTTCTTGAACTGAACACAGCAAAGCGCACAAGAATGAGCATTCACACGCTTTCGAGAAGCAGCATTCTACACGCATCATTGATCACTTGGCTAGACTCAATGATTTCGGCATCGCAACTCTTACTGCTTTTATTCGCAAAACTTTATTTCACGCTATTGAAATTACGTGTACGAGCGTGTGTATGTGTGTGTGCGTGCGAAGCGGTCTCAGCACGAGCTTCGCAGCGTTATGTAAAAACGTCGTAAATGCGCATAATAGCACGCGCATACGCAGTGTACGTATCTCGACAGAAGCAATTTGGCATATTTCGCTTGGTTTTCGCGAGAAAACACGCGGCCGAAGCATTGATAGCACGCAAGGGCACACAATGTGTCTCGACAAACATTATACACAGCTTGAATATTTTATTCGACGAGAGACAAGAAAAGTTGGTGCGCGATGGGCGGGGAAAAATCAATTTAATAACTCGTAATAGCGGTCGCGAGGCACACGGTGTACGCAACGATTGAAATTATAACTCGCGCGGGTGGAGGAGGGGAGTTACGTGAAAAGAAAAACGCATACGTGCAAACTCGATGCTATAGCACGAATCTTACGCGTGGTACGTTATGATTTGCCCGTGAGATAATTCAAGCTCAATGCCGCGCGGCGCGAGCTCTACATACGTATGTAGACGTACGAAAAACAATTTAATAAGCGACAACAGCTCGCGCGCACCGCCCGGAACGCGCGACGTATCCCAACAATCGAAGGAAGCTATATCCACGAGAGAGGGAGATTTCGGAGACGGAAAGACGACTTAATGACAAACAATAGCAGCTTGCGAGCTTTTGTGGTGTACGCTCGGTAAAACGAAAATATCGCGGCGTAGGCTTCGCCTCTGCATGCAGACGACGGATGTTATAATAATGGATAATAGCGGAGCGCAAATGTACCGCGGAGAAAGTTTTCTTTTATCGGGACACCCATCCGAGTCGTGAACGCACGGAGGAAATAGAAAAGGAACAATTTGATAAGAATGAATGTGGGCCGCGAACAAAAGAAATAGCGTTTAGCCTAGCTCTGAAGGAGGCTCGAGATCTACGATACTAAAACCATTCGATAACATATAAGAACGGTGAACCTGGTGAGTAAACGTGAGCCGTGGAGCTTGGAATGACTGACGGTTTCGTAGATGAGAGCGAGCACGGAATGGGTCATTTAAAGATTATTGACCCGCTGAAGAAGAAAAATTAAGTCTGATGATATATTGACATATAATATTGTTTGCGTACGGACGATAGTAATAATCGCTTATGTTATTATTTAAAGCCCACTCGGTAGTATGCAGTTCAATGCTCTCGTCAAATCATGATTTTTTTAAGGTTGTTTATGAACGCCGAGACATACGAGCACCAAAACATCCGTGCTACATTTGATACGTCTCTGAATTAAGTCACAGTAGCGCGCACCTGACTTGCGTTTGTTCTAGTATTTCTAAAAACAATTATAGAATGTATTAGAAGTTACGTTTTAAATATGGAATATGTTTTACAGCTATACTCTTTGAGTACAATGACAAGATTATGGTGGTGCTACGTGTCCGATGGGGACGCATTAAAACTATAATCTAATGCTGCACGTACGATTTCTGACTTCGAAGGAAAAGGATCAGGATTCCGGAGCATCGATCTTTGAAAGCTTGAGAAACACTCTTTAGGAACTTTGAATGCGAAAAATATTGTCGAGTTTTTCTCGTAGAGTGTACGTCCCAAGATGCCTGACTCTTCTAATTTATTGTCTCTCAAACTTTAATGTCAAATTCTTACTACTTGTATCATTCATAGATTTTGAAACTTGGCAGTTAATTTTATAAAAAACTGATGTACTCCGACATTATGCGTTCATTTTGTAATTTTAAATATTTATTTGTTTTAATACGTGGTTTTTCGTTCAATTCTAGTTATATATATATATAATATTATTAATAAGACTAATATTATTGACAACTTGGATTTGTATACCACGGTACAGAATAGAGCTATCGTTAAAATGACAACTGATATTTCTTACGATAGATACCGTAACGATCATATTACAGCTTTGAATTTTTCATCGAGTATGCTTTATCTATAATTTCAACAATAATACAATTCGGCTTTGTTATGCACGAAACAATTAGTTTGACAGTGTCTTTCAAAACTTCGAGAATAGTACGAAACTTTTATTGAGTACTGATTGTAAAAATTAGAAATGATATCGTAAAATCGCAATGCAACATGCTTATTTCGTTCTCTGAATTTTGTACGTATCAAAAATCAATCTAAACAAATGATTCGCAGATGTACATCATTTGTCAGCAAGCTTGGACAAACTAGCGAGGTCAATATAGAATCGCTGATTTTTATGACTGTTGCACAATATGTTCGTTATTGTTCTTAAACAATAAAGATATGAAAAGAGCTTCTTGGTCTAAAGGCTTGCAGATATTTTCCGTAACTCGCGTCGAAAAGAACGAGACGCAACGTCGCAGCTGAGATTTCGAGATACGTGCAATCCAGCGACATCAATAATTGAGAGACTGTTTTTTTCTATTTCTATTTTTGACAGTGCATCATCATTGCATGGGGCGCCGTCCGAGATCTCGAAGAAAGCAATTTGACAAATTGCTTAAATAGATTTTGATAGATGGTTTGATTGATGATTCGCTTGGGCGATGAAAGTTTGATGTTACGCTCGGCAGTACACAGAAACCCGCGAGCTGCATCAAGGACAAAAGAACTTGGACGAGAGCGCGCGAGTGCTCCGAAGAAACATGGTCCTAAGATCGGCGACGCGTACCTATTGGTGGTTTGGACTGAGCTTCGCCTATTTTTCGTGACTCTTTCGATTTCGTGATTTTTCGATCTCTTCCCAACCCAACCCCTTCATCGACAAACTCGACCGTGTGATCGTGAACTTCACAGATGACGCGGCTCTCTCGCAAATCTTCGTGAGAATGCTGTGTCTATGACTGTACAACGCTCCCTTGGGCATGGTCATTGACGAGGCCACGAAGGACTTCAATGCCAAGGACTATACTACGGAAGAAAGAAAGACGTTCATAGTCTACATCAAAAATCCAAAACTTGTCTTAAACCTCTTCTCAGCCAGTTAGGTGAAAGTAAGCATATCCGTTATCGCGTTGCGTCTGTTTTTTATGGAATTATATTAATTCACTACTAGCATACTCGACGGTCGCAAATGCCAGTTTCGTATTCGTGCTACCTTACTACTTCCACATTTTTTACGAACTGAATGCTGAAAGTCGTATTTCTGGACTTACGGCTCTCAATTTCCGTTTCTCCTCGTCAGCAGTTTCGGTCAGGTGGCAGCCAATTGTCTAATGGTCAGCCTCGTGTATCACGTATTCGGCCAAATGGCTGTTCAAGTCGTGAGAGTCATGAATCTCGACACCAAATCTGATAACTGCAGCAAACAACTAAGACGGCTCGTTCAATCTCACGTTAGGCTACTCACGTATTACTTGGTGCCATTTACTTTTAAGTGGTAATTTTCCGTATTTAGTTCGTTTTCACTTGCACAAATTCACATTGACTCGTGTGCTTTTTAAATTGAATGCATTAGGATGGGCCAGGTGGTACAAGATGCTTTTTGTACGACAGAACTTGCGCAGCTGATCTATAATTTATGCTGGTAATTCTGATCCAATTACGTACTGCTTATTGAATTGCAATTTTATAAACATCGAAAATATATTTCCTCAGCTTCTGGCTATTGGAGAAATCGCTATTTTAATATCCTTCTTCGCTTTTATCTGTTTGGTACTGTTCGACTTCTCTGCTTACTGTACGATTGGCAAATAATCATGGTGGCCATAGCTCGTTCACAAAAACCAATGATGTTCACTGCTGGTAAGTTCAGCATGTCCTGTCTTGCCACACTCACCAGCGTATGCTGCTCAATTCTTATAATTTTGTTTCTTAATTTAATTTTTATTTGCTACAAGCTAACATCACATCGTTTTTTGTTGCAGAGTATTAAAACGTCCACGAGATAGTTATCATTTATAAGAACTGTAACGTAGACATTAAAACTCAACAGTCAGACATTTAAATATATATTATATTGTAGTTGGTCATATGAATAAGAGCCAGTGTATTAACATGAAGAAATGGAAACGAAAATTAAAAGTATATGTACAATGCAACTTATGAAGCCATAGCTGTGCATTGGCCAAGTTAATATTTTATAGATTCGAAATATCTTAATTAGCATATCAATTTTCAAGGGTCTTCATGACATTGCTGCAGATAAATTTTCCTAAATTTGTCGCATTATCGAATAATTTATTGATTTTAGGCACGGGCTAGGGAGAATAGACGACTGTGTAGAGCAAGATCGAAACTCTTAGACCTTGTGAACACGGAGTCCAAACGTGAAGCTGTAATATTGCAGACACGAGTACAGTAGGCATATTATATTTTGTCCTAAAGTTTCTGTAAAAGCTTGGAAAACTCTAACATTCTCTAAGTAGTAATGTAAGAATAATCGAATGCCTCTCAATAAAACTTCAATGATAGCCTACGTCCGGAGTGCGTAAAATGTATTACAAGTTCGTCTTTGTCAGTGGTTGTGGGTAGAGCGCAGCCGATTGTGTCACGTTGATTTTGGTCGATCGCGTCTACGAGAAACATGCAACTTGACCCTCTGTCGGACAACTGAAGTAGCTCGTTCGACTGCACGGCGCAAGCTCTGTTAGTTTTCGGAATTCTTGAATGAATCTATGTCGGCAAGACACTGTTGACGGATTTTTCTTTTCAACGATTCTCGTTGAAATGGAAGAGCAAATATACTCGGCTTTCAGGGCAATGCTGCTTTGCTATCTCATAAACGCCACTACCGTTCTTCGCGTTATTGGATTCCAAATTATACGGGTGCTTTTAATGTAATTTCAGGACATTCGACCGACTTCGTTTTTGACAGTGTGATTTCATTTCAGTGATGCTTGGCTGTGGGGAAGACTATCGTTTTGGGTTTGTTCGGTTGATCCTTTACACTGTTTGTGACGTTAAGTAAAATCTGATAATAGGTGTTTCTATGCGCCGTTTCTGCTCTACCGTGTAACATTATCAATACATAGTTCTCATGATAATGCTTCAGAACCTCGCAAACCTAAGGAAATATTATTTTTTCGATACTTCACGCTTATTTCGTTAAGTCAGCCCAAGTTTTCTTTTTTCCAATTTTTTCAAGATATTTTTCCTTTCATATATACCGAGGTAGTTGTATTAATTAAGCATCGCTAAGATCAACTATCTAATAATTTTCAGAGAGAACGAGTATACCAAGCTTACTATAGCAGAAAATTGTACAAGATGACAACCCAAATCATGAAAATGCTCAGTTTTTATGTAGCTGGTTGTCAAAAGCCATTGAGATTAACCGCTGGCAAATTTTCAATATTTTACCTTGCGACGTTCATGAACGTAACTCGCAACAAACAGCCTGAGAGAAATTTTTAAATCGTAACTTTCAGATTTTATAGGCTGTGAAAGCATCCTGTCTGTGCTAAAAGCTGTTATGTAGGCTTCGTGATATCATTATTAATGGCCAATCCCATCTCAGATCATGCAGAGCTCCCCACACACCTGTCACCAAGCTACTCCAAAGTATTTTTTTATTGTTTTAGGTCAAAAATAAGAGGACCCGTATTTTTTCTTTTTTCTCTCAGATGCATAGTTCCGTCAATAATGCAATCGGAAAATGCACTGTTGAAAAGGGAAAATTGAGAAAATTTTTCCAATTAAATTTGGTTTCCTCAATATTTTTTTTATTTTTCGATACAATTAAATAATTTTTATGTCATCTATAGTAGAAACGAAGTTCTTCAAGTCTAATTTATCAAAAATATGAATGTATGCATTTTTCGGGAGAAAATGCATGTTTTCGAAAAAGTGCATCTTGGAGAAAAAATTGTGTATCTCAAAAAGGCCATAATTTTTTGCGCGCAAATTTTTTTTATATATTCTTAGTACCAATACCTTCAAATCCATTCGATCAAAATTTGCTGTTTTTTCGTTATATCGCTTAAAAAAATTAAAAAAAAAAGTTTTACATTTTCAAGTCAAACGCGATAAATACATAGGTACAGCGAATGGAAATCAAAGCTGAGAAAGAAAGGGTGACGTTAAATTATCAACATTTGCTGATGCATATAGATTTTGCTGAGAATTGGTCTCTAATTTTGAAAAATCCAGTTCAAGGGAATCATTGGGTGAATAAACAGATTGCAATTTTCACTGCTGTTTGCTACATAGGCGGAATTACAAAGAGTTATACTGTAATTAGTGAAGACTTAAAACATGATTATTCTCATGCATTGGCAGCAATACAAATAATTCTTGAACATATAACTAGATACACACAAGAAACGTATGGAAATTCGATTGATTCTATAACTTTAGTATCTGATGGCGCTGCAAGTCATTTCAAAAATAGATTCCAGTTAAATGAATTTTTAAATGCAAGTATGAGTAAAAAATGGATATTCTCTGCTACTGGTCATGGAAAGGGTGCTGTAGATGGTATAGGTGGTTTGGTAAAGCATTATGCAACAGTGCATAATTTACGCAGTACTGAATCTGATGCTATTCAAACTGCTAAAAGTTTTGTTGAAAATGTATCAAAATACACAACTTCTATAGAGCTGATTTTGATGGAAACTGCAGAGATAAACAATTTTCGTAGTAGTCAAATGGAGCAAAGACACAAATGCCAGAAATATCAGGGTATTCAACGTTGCCACATGTGGAAATCTGTTGTCTCGGAAGGGAGGAGCGAATGTTTTATAGCTCGAACGGCTGCGCATCCATGGATTGAAGTGAAAAAAGATGAAAAAAAAAGAAAAGTACTCATAAGAAGAAAAACGAAAATGTAAACAAGGGCAAGAAAGTGAAAGTTGTATCTAAAAAAGTGAAGAGAGTTGTAAAAGTAATCAACTCAAACAGAAAAAAATGATCGTGTAATTTTACATTTCTTGCAGACATGATTGAATAAAAGTGAGCTTTTTCTTTGAGTTACATGTTATTGTAGTTCAGTTATTAACCTACATAGTCGCTAACATGAATTCCTGAATGTATTTATCGCGTTTGACTTGAAAATGTAAAACTTTTTTTTTTAATTTTTTTAAGCGATATAACGAAAAAACAGCAAATTTTGATCGAATGGATTTGAAGGTATTGGTACTAAGAATATATAAAAAAAATTTGAGCGCAAAAAATTATGGCCTTTTTGAGATACACAATTTTTTCTCCAAGATGCACTTTTTCGAAAACATGCATTTTCTCCCGAAAAATGCATACATTCATATTTTTGATAAATTAGACTTGAAGAACTTCGTTTCTACTATAGATGACATAAAAATTATTTAATTGTATCGACAAATAAAAAAAATATTGAGGAAACCAAATTTAATTGGAAAAATTTTCTCAATTTTCCCTTTTCAGCAGTGCATTTTCCGATTGCATTATTGACGGAACTATGCATCTGAGAGAAAAAAGAAAAAATACGGGTCCTCTTATTTTTGACCTAGAACAATAAAAAAATACTTTGGAGTAGCTTGGTGACAGGTGTGTGGGGAGCTCTGCATGATCTGAGATGGAATTGGCCTAATATAAATTCTTCGAATTTAACAGATATGATTATTTTAATTAAAAGGTAATTGCATTTCAGTTCTTAGAAAAAAACATTAAAAAATCCTACACATACTTCGTTCAGATCTACAAAATTCAATTTAACTAAAATACTATATAAATAATATATATATATATATATATATATATATATATATATATATATATATATATATATATCATGGTAATACAAGTGTCTCATTGAAGATGTAACAAAGAAACAAGTTATTCAGATTACTTAGGAGTATCTAATTAATGATGTCTACACTGCATATTATTGTTAATGTATTTAAATAAAAAAACGTTGGGAACAAAGATGGAGATCAGAAAGGCATAATGATTATTGCACCATTTTTCATTACAAAAGGTATGATTATTATTTGCAGGTGAAGTGATTGTGTATTTCATACATGTGATTTTTCGCACTACAATAAACTTACATTATCTGGCGCAATTACAATATATATATAAGTGTGCGTGCGTGTGTATTTACATACACATATTTACGTACAATAGACAATTATTGACGTACGCTGATAAAGAAGGAATCTCGCTCTTAAGACTCGCTAATCTTTTACATAAAAAGCTTCCCACAACGGATATATTCTAAATAGATTGTTTTATTCATGCACATACTCTTTACTACAGTACGGGCGGAATGTTGGAATTTTATGATTCTTTTAAGTGGAAAAATACTTTGCGACGACGATGAACCGACTATAAAAAGGATTATATGAAATTACAAATCAGACCTTTTAGTGCACTATCGACAAATTTTACGTTTATTAGCGCGCTTTCCCATTTTACTTATACTGTAATCCCTATATATAACTTATTAAAACCTCTTCCGTATATTATATAAATTTTCTACTTTATACATTTATTTCACTAAGCTTCAATACTGTTAAGAAATTTTTCCATAACTGTGAATTGTGATTTATTTGTGACTCAATGTATTAGTTATTATTACTTCTGCAAAATCATTAAGATGAATTTGCAACATCTTATAATTCGAATTTAAATTGGTCATAAATTATGGAAAACTTTCCATGAATGTATTGAACAGTTTATAAAACGGACGCAGTTAGTGTCGTTACAAATTAAAGTTTTGACAAACTCAACAATAACTTTAAAATAGCCTGGTATAGCTTGCATGAATTATGTATCGTGTAGATGTATTTATGTACAAATATGTTCATTTTATTTATTGTAATGTTGAAACACTTTGAATGTTTAGCGGGAATAGCATGTTGTGATTTTAATTTAAACTTAGCTTAATGAGCATTCGAATAATGAATCGAAATAACAACTAATTTACATAAAATTTCACATTCAATGAGCGCTTTTCAAATTATGAATCGGCTTATAAACCTAAGCAAAAAAAAAATGTATTTAATTAAATTATTTAATTTTTAATTTATAACAGAAAACAGCTTCGACATTTGACGTAAATGGAATAGCTTTTCGGTTTGTATTGTAAAAATTTAATTTTTAAATATTTGGCTGATCATTGTATGACCATGTTTTATTTATAATTACAATATTCCTAAAAATAGTCTTAATACGAAAAGTAAGAGCAAAACCTAGTCACGAGTTTTTAGCTATTTTGAGATTTTTTAGTGAGATTCTTTTGAAAATACAAAGTCGCTTCATATTACTTTAATGCAATTTTTATGATTCTGATAAATATAAATCAATAATCTTGCCCTTAACTGAAAAACTGAAGCTAACTCACGCTATTTACATATTGTATACACTGTCCTTTTTCCGTACATAAATAAATTGCATGATATTTTGATCGACTATTTTTGGCAAATGAATGTCAATTCATTTATAACAGGGTACTTGAAACATATGGAATTAGGTTGAGATATTACATTTATTACTATAATTCCATATCGTGTTTAAATAAAAAAACAAACAGGTCGAACAAAAATGTGTATATTAACGTTTTAATATTGAAATTACTTTACGACTTTAAAGTAAGCTCATTCAACATTTCACACTCTAAGCGCCATTTTCTGTACTGTAACGCGGTAAAGATGTTCATAAAAAGAATCTCTTCTTAATAAGAAATTCTTTCATAAATATAATTTAATAACGTTAAAGAGCATATATCTTATAAAAGAAATAACCATTTCACGAGATAACAAGTTTGCTCTTATTATTAAAACTAGAAATGACATTCAATAATATGGCGTTATAAAAAAATCATATGGTTTACTACGCGTACATCTATTTGACAATGAAAATAACTGTGAAATAAAGTGTGATATAAAATGGCACCCTGAGTTGAAGAAGCACGGCTTGTGTAATAACATTTTGAAAGTTTTTCAAAATCAATAACGTTATAAGTGCTTAAATTTCGGAGCATTCAACTTACTGTTTATAAACCTCTGGCAGTCTTAAAAAATTGAAAAAAGTATTGCTACCATTTACAAGCAGCAGGTTTGCTCAGCTCAAGCAGACCTGATTTGACTCGTTGAACTTTCGACAAATGTCATTATATTACCTGCTATTTACACCTTAAAATTTTGTTCTTTAATTGTCGATTTACATACATAGTTCATAATTACTTTACTACGAATGCGACACCCGCGATGAATTCTTCTTGTCGGTTGCAGCGATGTTATGACTGCTCATTTGGAAATTTGTGCTGATGCTTTTATTCAAACCAACTGCCGACGTGGACGGATGTTTATGTGTGCTGTTAACATTCTTCCTTGGCGGTTTAGTTATTTGCGTTGTTGAGAGGTTACTTACAAGATATTTTTGTTTGCTGGAACTACTGATACTGTTGCTCGTACCGTTCCTAGTACTAGATTTTATCGGACTTGTAGATGAATTCTTACTCGGATGTTTGGGCAAGACGAAGGCTTGTGTCTGTCTAAGAAGATTTTTATCGTTGCACAGAGCAGTAATCAGAGGTAAATCCGCTTGAAGGCATTGCTCACGAAGTTTTATAATGTCAAGCCCCCCGTCTGAGTGTGATTGAACGGCGTCTTCTTGCTGTCGCATATTCGACGACTGTTTCTGCGGCGATTGTGATTGCTTTTGATGTGATTTTGATAGTTGCAATAATGGTTTAATATTATTCGTGGTGAGATATATTGACTGGCTAGTGGGTAGCGTCTAAATGAAAAATACGATTATAAACACGATATTGCAGCATTGTAACTTGTGGTAGTGAGCATGAATTTCAAATTTTACCTGAACATTATAGGGTGGTGGAGGTGGCGGTGGAGGTAGACGCCTGTGTTTCGTTTGCGGCTGCGGTAATGAGCCCATATTACCGAGTTTAGCATGAGCCAGCGATAAGGACGATAAAGAAGCCATGGTGGCGTCGTAACTCTTCAGTATATTTTCGTGACTTCTCGTCCTAGAAAATCCATGCTGAAGAGTGTGCGGCTGATATCTGGCTGGCGGAGGTAAAGGTGGCGGTGGAGATGCGTAATTACTTCCTTTCCTAAAAGTTTGAGTACCTCCGCCACCACTAGAGCAAGTGAGTCCACTGTAAAGCGAACTCGTGCTGGCGGCATACTGACTGCCAGGAGTGCCGTAAAGAAAGTAATTACCTCCGACGGAACTATTAGTGTCACTAAGGCTACTCGTGAGATTTTGATTCGAGGTGTATTTGTTTGAAAGAGAAGACAACGAGGAGCCAGTGGTAGTATAAGGCAGATACGGAGTACTTCTGTATATCATTGATGACTTGTTGGCAGCCTGCAAAGGATATGGTGGAGGTGGAGGATAGGCCGCCATGGCGGCCATTAAAGAACCTTGTTTAGCGTCGATATATTCTTGTTGAGAAAGTGCCGGGTCCTTGAGCGGAAACATCACGTAGTCCACGTCCGAATACATTTGCTGGTTATACTGCTCGATTTGCGTCTTTGACACTTGGTTAGTATACACCGTGGCTAGCATACCAGACGGAGGCACATTATTCGCGCTGACAGTGTTACGATTTGTTGTAGTTGGATTTGGCAGAGGAGGCGGTGGAGGTGGAGGAGGTTGCCTCTGTTGAGTTTGATGCTGACTCGGATGAGGTGGTGCGAGGTATGGCAATAGAACCGGACCTGTTCTCGTTGCATGTACATCCAGATAGTTATTCGGACCGACGACTAAAGCTGCCACTGGTGCGTGCACTGGGGTTGGCTTCATTTTGTCACCAGGATAAGTTGGTGGCTGTATTCTCGCAGGCGCTGGAGGTGGCGGTGGCGGTTCTCTACAAATATATCTCAGATATATGTTAATATAAATTAAAACTAAATTTGCTGATAATTTCAAACTTTTTAAAATTCTCATCTACCTGGGTGTTACGGCATCGTTACGGGGTGGAGTTGGAGGTGGTATCTCAAACCTCTCTCGTGGACAAACATAACTGGGCGGTGGTTTAGCAATTAAACCAGGATACGGTGGCGGTGGTGGTAATTGTCGCTCACTATCACTCCTTGGGGGCGGTGCAGGTGGGAGTGGTGGTGGTGGCATTCGCACATAGTCCGAGTCCGAATCCATAGATGCACTAACGCTTTTCCTCGGCGGATACCGACCTACAATGAGATCCGATAGCTCGTCTGCCGACAGCAGAGGACCTTGACCTTGAGCTGGATCGCTACCATCGCCTCGAAAGCTACCAACGCTGAGAATACTGTTACTGCGCGAACGAGACTCCGCCTCGATATCAACGCTTATAACATGTTCATTCGAGGCTGTTATCTCTTGTTGGGTGCGTTTAGGAAGTTCTGGCTCTTGGGACTGGCAGACGCTATAGATTGGATCTTGATCATCGTGACCCGTGCCTTGACTATAACACGAACCACTGGTTTCCGAACGCAGTCCGCTATGGATGGTGTAGAAACCAGACGTGACTGAAGCTTCATCCGTTGTCGATTGTATCGACGAGTCGTTGGCCAGCTGCTCGTCCAGCATTTCGCTGCTGTGCAACGTATAAATACCGCTAGTTTCACTAGCGATGTCCGTCACTGCGAAAATTCGCAACCACCTTGTTATCATTCATATAATTAAATAGTTTAAATCGCGTAATTGTGATTGAATTTTTACCAGCATATTTTGTAGGCTTGTTACATCGATCATAAATAGTTTCACCGGACAACGCGGAATTTTGCGCGGTATGCGAATAGCCAAGTTCTAGACTGGAATTTGCAGACGTTCGCCTCCTTTCTGTAGCAGCAGCGGCAGCATTGAGTAACGCAGCAGTGGCCGAACCAGCAATACTTGGAGGTCCGATGGTTGGTGAAGTGTTAACCACTACGGTACTGCACGTACTACTGCACTGAGAACCAAGCGTCGCTGCTCCAGTTCCAGCATTCGTCGTATCAACCTCCGACAACAGATTAGGTCGTGCAGGAGGTGGAATCGACTGGCCGTTTTCGCTTGTATTGACTGAAGCAGTAGCCAAATTGGCAGGTGTCGTATCCTCGGCAGATCGACCGGATATCAATCCTGCGTCAGGCTCATCCTCGCTGTGCACGCGGTCGCTCACTATGCCCGAAGTTGTATTCGACGAGGTACTCGAGATCAACGAGATACGTTGATCAGCTCGGGAACCTCGTGCGGTCAAGCTTAACTTGCAACGCGCTGGGTACATGTAACAATCCCGTAGTACTTTGCGTTCTGAAAAACATAGATGTAATGAATTTTTTTTGCGTTTTGCGGTTTTGAGTGCGGTCGGAAAGAAAAAGAGATGGAATATACCTTCTTCCTCGCGTTGTTTGGCTTCATTGACTCGGTGTGCTATCGCCCGGAAGTACAAGTGAGTGTCTCGACAGAGCGCTAGCAAGAGCTTACTCTTGTCGTCACAGCCACTAAAGAGGGTGAGTTTGCTCGGTTTTTCTTGCTGATCGACTGCGCGAATCTCGAACTTCTTGCGCTGAAAGTACCATCACATACGTTTCATCTTAACCAGCTATCTACAACAACGTTTTTGACATTACAATGCAATGTATTCAACCGACGATGAAAAATAATTGCACATGAATATTCACTTGAGTTTGTGATCAAAACACTTGTTAATGCAATCATTCTTCTAAAAATTCGATGCCAATAAGCAATATAGCGTGGAAATTGCGTAGGCACGGTATACGTAAGCATTCCAATGGAATTCCGTTAAATAATCTGCATGCGGAGAAAAGTTAAAATATTCGTAGTTATCTGACAGGTGAAATGGGCAAAAGCCATATTGAAACGCGAATGAAAACTAACCATCGAGGCAGGAAATAGCCGATGATTAACTATAATCCCCCCTCCCCTTCCCAAAGGCTTTCATAAGCATATAGCAGTTGATCCTTGCTATCGTCATGGCCAAAGCACTTACGTCAAAGCCAAGTTTGCCGATGTTCTGCCAGGTGAAGACCTGCGGCTCGTCCTCGTCACCGTAGATACGCACGCCTTTGGCGCAGATAGCGAGCAAAACTCTGCCGGGTCCTTGCTCGCTCTTGTTCTTGCGTAATCGGTAGAGGTGAGCGTTGAGCGGCGCCTCCAGGAGCAGCGCATCCCTGATGTACGACAATTCGGCCTCCTCGCGAGACAAGCCGCGGTTGTCGCGGTGCTGGGCTGACAATACCGACAGCGCATTCTCCTCGTGGCACATCTGCGAGTCGAGAAATATGAAAATCATGACGCCGATATGAATGAACATTCCCAAGGCTGTGATTCATATTTACAGCCGAATCTCCGGCCAATGTTTCACGCGGCTATAAGTGAATCACGCTCGCACGAGATAAGCTTCTCAAGCAGCTATTTCCGTCATTTTTTCTCGTGTGATTAATGCGCCTTGTCTCGATTTGCTTCTCGGGACAATTAATTTTCTGATTTCACTTTTCGCGGGACGACGGCTCCGCTTGGGAGAGGGCGTGAGACGACGACGAATTTACAGATCGGAATGCATTTTACAAACGTTTCGACGGACAATTGAATAATGCCTCGGGCTTTTTTTTTCTTCAGAGTGCCAATGTACATTTGCATAACAATGAGTTGCGGGGATAAAAAGAATTGGCAGATAAAAAGCAAAATTACGGCGAACCAACGATCGCCGCGGTTACGCAACGAGACGGCATCTTTTTTCAATCTTCAAGTACAATAGGAGAAATATTTATGACATGTTAGCGATGTTATGACTCTACGCAAATAAACTCGTTCGGTAACTCTGCAATAGATATCAATTACGAAAGTCTCGATTGTAAAGCACTTTGACGTATAAGAAAAGACGTTTCAGTTGAAATGCTCCGGCTAAGCTCTTTCTTCGACGTCTCGCGTGAGTATATGTACACGTTGAAGAGCTTCACGATGAAAAACTGAGCGCAACCTAAGCTAAAACATCAAAACTTACGTGAGCGGGAAGGTAATCGGATGGCTTGCAGTAATTCGGTCTACCATGCCGTTCCTCGTTGAAATCGCCGAGGTCTGCCTGCAAAGCAAGACCGGCGAGACTGAGCAGCGGTTCGTATACTGTACTCGATTGTAAGGGATGCTGGCCTGCTTGCCAACTCTCCACGCCGCCCCCGTGGCGCACCACGTTATCCCGCAGTTGCAGGTAGTAGTGGTGTCGTGTTGTTTCATCGCTGAGCAAAACGAGTTTGTGAAGTTATATTTTCTTTTCGATTTAATTTAATAGAAAAAATTGGCGTTTATCGTTGCAACTACTTCAATTGAGCGTGAAAAAGCACGTGAAAAGGTACTTTTTGATTCTCGAGAATATGGATGCAACGTAATTCCTTCATCTACAAGGTATTTCAGTTGTCTTTAAATAATTACCGTAGCAGTAAAGTTGTGTCCACGTAATATCGAACACGAAAATATAGAACAAAGGCAGGTCGTCCAGTGCTATCCAGTCCCTAAAATACATTGAACAGTCGATTAATGAACAAGCCGTAGCAATCATCATATGAGGACCATCGTATTTTCCCATACGTCTGTATGGGATCCAACTGAAAGGGATGGGAAACGGAAATTGCCGCCAGATTAATGGGAGTTCGTTAATAAAAGTAAAAACCGAGCGTGAAAATTCATCGGTGGTGCCCGGCAACGCGTAACACGTCGAACTATCACAGTGGAATGCGGCGATGATAAATCAATTTTTGTTGCGCTGCGTGCCGCTCTCGTGGGCCTCGAAGCCCCGTCGCTTAAAAAAGCAAATTCACTTCTGTGCTAGGCCTTATGAATGGAATGAAAAATGATTTGCATGGGCGGCTGAATAACGAGCATCCTCGGAGTAGCAGCAACATCAATGATGCAATTTAATTTTAAATTATTTGGTGGAGAAAGAGCGTCGTAGGCTCGAGGCGTGCAGGGTGGAGGGAGAGGGAGATCATCTCCGAAGAGAAAAGAAGCTAAAAAGAAAGGTTAAGAAGCAGCGCAGGGAAAAAAGGAGAAACGTGCCCCCCCCCCCCCCCCCCGGCCTTTCGGGAATTAGAAAGATTCCAATTTTTTCCGTAAGGGCCCGGCGTATACAGCGAGCTCCGGCTATGCGGTTGCTGCGCCTTTTTCGGCCGCGCGCGATTCGTGCCCGAAGCGTGACGAATCGGACGTACGAAGAAAAAGAGAGAGAGAGAGAAAGAACGAAACGCGCGCACGCAGACGAACGGAGAAGGTGCGTTGTCGGCTACTGTGCTACGCTTCGGCAAGGTTCTCTCTCGTTCTCTCTCTCTCTCTCTCTCTCTCTCTCTCTCTCTCTCTGGGACTGTCCAATATAAATGCAAAATAGCTCTGGCAAATTGGAGGCGAGTGAGAGAGAGAGAAAGAGAGAGAGAGAGGGAGATAGCGAGGGTGTCTTCATCGATTCTCAGCGACTTACGTAGGTGTGCGAGTTTCTCCAGTTCTTGGGGGCGTACTTGCTGAGTTTACTCTCTGGGTCGACGAACAGGTACTCTCCGTCTGCCAACAGAACGAAAAAAGAAGTCATCGCTTAATCACATAATCCTAGCTCGCTCTCTCTCT